GCCAGTTGGGGTATTCACATGGTGGAAAGTGGATTGATTTTCTCCATAGATATTGCGTCAAGAAGGTTGACGGCCTACGAAGGCACTTCCGATACCTCGCCCTCGATACTAAGAGGAGCATGGGATTTGCCTGGAAGTCTCGACTTGTTTGATTGGATGAGGATCGACACGGAAGCTAGAGGTTCGAATGTTTTGGTGAAGATCAATCAAAGGAGAGTCGCGCATCTCAAGCGACTGAACATCAACTCATCGCCCGGAGGCGAACCAAATACCGGTTCAGTCGCATTCGGTGGTCCCGAACATTACCTCGCAATATATCGATCGCTGGTCGTAAGGGACGTTAATGACAATATACTTTATGAAAATGACATGAGACTTTCTAACAGAGTTCGAGTGTTGGCGGATTTTCAAGTCGGAACAAATCAAATACCATGCACAGTCGATAGTGCAAAAGGTCATCGCATATGCTCTGCTGGTGATTTGTTCGTCATGGGTCGCTCCATTTACCATTCAACGGGGCATTTAGAAGCGGTCTTGGGGAGTCTATCGTTGCTTTCTAGTCACCAGGAGGCTGACGGATATCTTGGGAACGTAAGTCCAATACAAAAAACTTTCTTTGAAAATGAACGAAGTGAGCCTCCCACATATGCCTTTTTCTCCCTCACCCTCAGTTTCCAACTGCTGGTAGCTGTTAAGGATTATTGGATGTATTCGGGAGATTTCTCTATTGTGGAGAGGATATGGGACAAGATGGAGAAATCAATGAATTTCGCAATGATGTATGAAGATAGACGAGGATTAATCGTGGCACCACCTAATATGTCAAGTAAGTATTTTATATCTTGATGTCATAGATAGGTTCTGACGATTAAACAGGAGATGTTATGTCATCCAGTATACTCATAGGCGCTTCGTCCAAAGTAAATCTTGCATATTATGATGCTCTGATTTCCATGAGTAAGATGTGTGGCAAGTTCGGACTAGAAGATGAATATGCACCTCGTGCCAGTGCACTTAAAGACAACATTTTGAAGAATTTTTGGCATTCAGAAACAGGTGTTTTGCGATTAAGTGATCGCATCCCACCAACAACAATATCACACGAAGTTAACTCATACGGGAGAATTCTCGGTGTCATACCTCACATCGAAAGGTCAGACGAGCACTTGGGACTTTCAAGCAGTGGAGAACTTCCACGAGTAATTCGAGATACAGAAGATAGAAAAGAGGTGAAGATCGTAAGTCCTTATACTTGTGGAATGGCAGCAGAAGCATTGTTTCAAGCTGGCAAGGGGTATGACGCGGTGGAATTGATTGAGAGTGTATGGGGTCCTATGGCAGATCCAGAAAGTTTGGAATACTCAGGAGGACATTGGAAAGAGATTAAACCAGACGGCCAGCCAACTTCATCCATGACATCTATGGTGCAAGCACGGTCTACCTGGCCAGTATTTATTCTTCCGCAGTATCTAGCGGGAGTTGAACCATTGAGTCCTGGTTGGTCTCATTGGAAAGTGCACCCAGTACTTGCAGGTCTCACGTTCGTGGATTATCGACTTTTAACGTCAGCTGGAGAAATTTCCGTGGCCATTCATATACACGAACCAAGTAGTACGGGAGAACTCACAGTATTTGTACCGAAAGGAACAGTGGCCGATTTATATCCACCGAAAGGATGGATTTTCCTGGCATCTAGGAGCGTGTGTGCGGAATATTTGGAGAAGAAGGTCGTTATAGGGCAAGATGAAGAAGTAATACTAAAGCTCTGTGTATCGCCTCACGACAGGCAATCAGCGCCTGTTAGGCAAAGTTTGAGGCAACTGCCCTGGGAAGATTACGAACCCGAAACGCAAGAGGAAGAACCAAGAAGTCCAAGTTGTATAAAGCGATTTGGGCGAAAAATGTTCAAGCTACGTAGAGAATAGATTCAAGTTAGACAAGAAAACGTGTTCCACTATAGTGGTTTCTGTGGGTGATTAGTCGTCGGAAGGGTGGACGTCGTAACCAATCAAATACTGGTAATCATCACCGATTGAAAGAAACTAATTATTGAATGATATAAAATTCGTAAGATAGGGTATATTAGAGCATAGAATGAACGTTATGCGTGGCCACTAGCCCGGTTCATTGGGCCCCAATTCTCCCGGGGGTTGACTTGGTATCTCACGATCTTTTTTGTGTCTTTCTCCATTCCCAACTTTTCGTCAAAAACCACTTCGAGCTTCTTTTTCTCGGTAGGTGGCGTGTATTTCTCATCGGCATCGCCACTACTAGCCTCATCCTTGATAGTTTCCTCCTGAGTCGTCGGAGCCTTTTTGTCTAAGCCCATTATATACCAGCCAGCGGTATTCTTCTTGATAACACCCTCTTTTGGTGGGAATTTCTGTCGCGCCCACTCTCTCATGATCTCCCAAATAACATCCCAAGGAGCATCGGTTTTGATACTACCACCCTTCGTATGACTTCTAGTAACTCTATAACCGAGATGTCGTAGAGCTCCTCGGAGTGCATTTTCATGGGGAGTCACACAATGAATTACTTTGGCGAGCATTGATGGTATAAAGAAGAACGGATAGTGGTCAATGGCTGCAGGATCATTCTTGCCAGTCTTTGATGAGGCAGTTGGGGAGTCCGACATGTCTTCTAAAGAAGGCAAATTTTCTTCGAGGGCCAATGTGAGCATACCTTCGATCCTAGCTGTTGTGTGATATGTATCTTTGGAAACATTGGGCAGACCGTCTAGAATTCTTTGGACAAATTCGGGTTGATGAAGCGGACCACCGTACATAGGTCCAGCAAGGTGAGTTCTCATACCACAATGAGCGCAGTTTTCACCTGCTGATGGTCCCATAGAGTAAACATGTTTCCAGAAATGGCCATTGCCATTTTTATTGGGTGCAAGCTTATTCTTTCCAACCATTTGCGTCGTCCATGCCCCACAACCAGTATCACAATTGTAAACCATCATAGTTTTGCCTGCCAAGAATTTGACATCGGAAGGAGATTTGTATATTCTGACAAATACTCGGGCGTAGAAATCGATCGAAAGAGAAAGAAGTGGTTCCATTGCGAGGCCGTATCGAGCTGCGGAGGTAGCAATTGAATGCAAAATAAGTCTTAGACCACCTTCATGGCTATGCTGACCCTTGACTGTAGTTCCTCCATAGAGAGAATATGCCTTTTCAGGATACCCATTCGAAGCCCATACACCAGCATCAGTACAAGTAACACACAAAAGCCCTCCGTCATCTCTAACCGCTTGTACTGCTGCATCCAAAAACGGAGCTGCTGTGCCATAAGGATCTAAATCAATTACATCATATTTTCGGCTGCCACTTCCATCTTTGCAATCATCACCTACAAGACTATACATGTGTGTCAATGCGTTGCCGGTCACAGCTTTGATCTTGTTTTCCAGCTTATTATGCTTCACATTGAGTTCAATCGTTTTCGTAGCTGCGGGCAAAAGATCATTCGCAGTGATTGATGTTGCAAAAGGAATTTCCTGAGCATATCTAAGAGCTCTAAGTCCAGTCGCAGATAAGGCATCGAGGATTTGGAACCTCGGATTGATCGGATTCGTGGATTTTGTGGCTTCTTTTTCATTTTTGGGTTCTGATCCTTCAGCTGTCTCAGTTGTTACATCATTATGTGAGTCGCCGTTGGCCGCTGGGGCAGTAGACTTTGTTCCTTCATTTTGACCATTTGATGCGCCTTGTTTAGTGTCTGTCTCCATGTCGTTACTGGTATTCTCGTGTTTTGCGACGGCTATTGGAAGTTCTACGGCCTCTCCTGCATTCTCGAGTTTGCCAGCCTTCCTCGGTCCATCATGTCCTTCCTCAGCAGCTCTCTTTCTTTTCTTCTCCTTCTTGGCAGCATTCTTTTGTCTATCGCGTTCGATTATTTTCTTCTTCTTTTCCAAAATACTTTCTCCGTATGCTTTAATCGCCAGGACGCTCAAATCTCGATTGAATTGTTGAATTGGGTTGTAAAAAACAGACTGAACTTGGTTTTGGCCTTTGGGGGTTGTCTGTGGTACTTTGGAACCTTCTGCGGGTATCAGGATATGTGCGAGACCTTCCTTGACTGTAGTATATTCTTTCCCATCGTGAAGAATATGCTGATCGGCAGCGGGGGCAACTGATATATCAGGAAGAGTGGATTCCATGATTGAGGCTGAACAAAATCTGTAGTGTTTTAGTTGTCGAATACTCCCAGCCTGTAGTTCAATGCGACTTTTTCTGAAGCAATTGACTGAAGCAAAAAACGATCGCATGTGTCGTCTCTATTATTGTACACAATAAATTGCATTGAGAACAAAAATCAAAATTCTGCCATTTAGGCGGTCGATTGAATGGTATTAGCGTCATTTTAGCTGAATAGCATGTGGTGGACACCAGGCTGTCGTAGACACAACACAATGTCCAACCACCTTCTGATCAACATTTGATATCGACATTTTGAATGAGAATTGTAATGCACTTCATTCATCACTAACCTTTATTTTGATAAATATGTTCTCTCTAAATCTAGAGGTTCGGTACAGTGCACAAGTGTGTAGCATGTAATCGCCTTTGGCCATGGACAGCAGGGGATCAGAGAATTTCAGGTGTTCACGGAGTATATCTGTCGCGCCTTTGATTCCAACCCTTCGAGTTACTAGAGACTGGTACCCAAAGAAGAAGTTCTTATGATTGACAAATATGAAGTGTCAAAGGGGAAGCGGGGATTCTTTCGCTCCAGTCAATTGGTCAAAGTTGTTAACAAAAATAAGCGCCCAACCATTTACTTCTGTCCGCTAAACCACACTCGAGAATACATTCTCCCAATACTATGGTTCAGCGCTGAAGAATGGTTACGTTGTATTCTTGCCACCCAATGAACATATTGATACCAGGGATGAAAATACTCCGAAACACAGACATGCATATCCGATCAAGGGTTTCTATTTACTAAGCGGGCGCAAGTTGCGTCTGCGAAATTTTCTAAGCCCTGCTCCAATGGTAGGGCAGAAGTAAGCATGCAAGCATCAGAGCCATGCTATTTGTATATGGGTGTAGTATCTTCTTTCGCATTGGTCATTTTTCCTCTATTTTTTATTATTGTAATATTCTTATCTATATAGCTCTTTTAATTACCTCGCGAAATTGTTCATTGGCAATCGTCTGCAATTTGCATTTGGAATCCATACTCCCTCTCCAAACGAAGAGCTAATGGCGCGAGGAAGTCTATGGAAATCCCGCTCAAAATCTACCACAACTGTAGTGCCAATAGACACGGAGCTCTCTGAAAGGTTTGGTCTCTTCCACTTGAATCCAATTCCTGTACTTCCAAAGAATGGAGAGTCGCCTTATAGAATTGATATCGTGGCACTGCATGGCATAAAAGGCGATGCATTCAAAACATGGACTGAGAAGAATGAAGATGGTGTCAAAAACCTGTGGTTAAGGGATCAGTTGCCCAATGAGTTGCCAGGTGCCAGAATATTCTCATTTGGGTACGACGCGAATGTCCTGTTTAGTCGAGGGACGGGTACGATAGAAGATTTTGCTACAGCTCTGTTGGAGGATTTGTTGAGGGAGAGAAGCAATGATAAAAATCGAAAGCGTCGGATCATTTTCATATGTCATAGTATGGGAGGCATCGTTGTAAAGAAGGCGCTTATCAGAGCCTTCAACACCAAGCTTTACAGGAACATATTTGAGCTCACATCCGCCATTCTCTTCCTTGCCACTCCGCATATGGGCTCTGACGAAACTAAGCTACCTCTATTGATCTCGAAATTTGCTAACGGGCTTCTCGCCCTTCCAATGAGATTCAGTGGTCGTGTCAGAGATGAATTAATTACGCCTCTTTCGCGAGGGTCGTCTGTCTTGATAGAAACACAGGACGAATTCAAGAGGTTGAAGCTGTATGATGGGATTCGAGTCGCCAGTTTCCTAGAAATGGATATCTGCTCGGGATTAAAGGGGCTTGTGGTTGACGAAGAGAGTGCGCAGTTACACATTCCAGATGAGCGGGTAGTAAAAATGCATGGCTGTGACCATCGAAATATCTGCAGATTTACTGGACCGGAAAGTAGTTCATACAAGTCTGTTTGGGGTATTCTGAAAGTATATGCGGATGAAGCTAGCAGCTGTAGGTTTTGCGCAAGAAAGTAAACGCCTGTGTAAATGCTGACGTCTTATTTACAGTGGTTGAGGATGATCTTACTCCTGAGGATGAATGTAAGGAGTTCAAATCCGTATGAAGCCTCGATCTAACATGTATATACAGCTGTATTATCCTCCATATACTACCCCGAAATGGAGCAAAGACGTCGAAATGCAAACAACGCCTACCCAGGTACCTGTAGCTGGATCTCCCAAGATCGTTCATATCTTCGATGGAAAGACACACAACGCAGTCTAATGTGGATCAAAGGCAAACCAGGTGCGGGTAAATCTACACTCATGGCATATATTCTGTCAAATTTCCGCCATCGCGATTCTCGCCACCTGGTACTGAATTTCTTCTTCCATGGTCGCGGTGCCCCTCTCCAAAAGGGACCCGAAGGAATGTATAGGCAATTGTTGTATCAACTTTACTCTCAAGCATCACCTATCCGCGAACAACTCCGAGAGTCCTTTGCCGAAAAGAACGCGTCGAGACAGTTAGAGAATGATTGTGTTTGGAGTGAAGATGAATTGAAAGCATGGCTATTTAATGCCATTACTTGGATTGCGCAATCAAGGCCGGTTACATTATTTGTTGACGCACTCGATGAAGCCGGCGACGACAATGCAAGGATGCTGATTGATTATTTTGATGATATGAAGAAGAGAGTATCCCAAGATGAAGATGGTGGATCCTTAAGAATTTGCGTTTCTTGTCGGCATTATCCCAATGTCACCTTGAGTGAGGGCTTTGAAGTCAACGTAGAAAATCATAATATGCGAGATATTGCAGTTTTCGTTCACGCACAACTGGTATCGAAAATCATCAACTGGGACAACGACAGGGTGGCTATTGAGGGTAGAGAAAAGATGGAAGCAGCTATTGTGAAGAAATCACTGGGTGTCTTTCAATGGGTCAAACTTGTGGTTCCTATGGCTGCGGAGACATTCAACGATACAGAAAGTCTTAAGGAAGTTCACGTCATGTTGGAAAAGGTACAGGATGACCTCGCGGCTGTGTACGAGAATATTTTGACTAATGTCATCAAAGTTAAATATCGACCCAAAACATTGCTGTTAATGCAATGGATTGCCCTTGCTGAGCGACCTTTGACTGCTACCGAATTAAGAATCGCGATGGCATGTGATAATGAATCTGAAAATCCGGGACACAAACGATGGGAAGATAGTGAGGATTATATCGAGTCTGATAGACGAATGGAAACTTTATTGAAGACTTTTTCTGGAGGGTTGGTGGAAATAGCTCTGTATACCTCGGGGTTATATCGCGTACAATTCATTCATCAAACGGTGGTCGACTTCATGCTTTCAGGAGGCTTGCTCTACCTAGTAAAGCATTCAAAGCCACAGCCTCTCGAACCTTGTGGGGATGAGGGCCAATACTCTAATGACCAAATCCTTGGGCAAAGTCAAGATCGTCTTTCAAGATCTTGCGTCAATTATTTCAAACAGCCCGATATTATGTACGCGGACTTCAATGATGTAATTCAAAGAGAAAAGGTGTGCGATGGCACAGAACATCCACTATTTGAGTATTCCATTCAAAATTGGTCAGTACATGCAGAGAAAGCGGAACGGCTTGGCTTCAGTCAGATACATGTGGTGAGACAACTAGAAAATCCACCTGGGTACTTCGAAAAATATATTGAATACGAGTACGCTATGAAAGGAGCTGCATACTCCTTGCGAAAGGGCTCCGTAATTCTACATCTCATGGCATCCGCAAATCTACAAGGCCCAGCTCAGTCACTGCTAGAGCGCGGTGACTCTGTGGAGGATGAGGATCAAGGTTTCGTAAGACCTTTACACTGTGCAATCTTTCATGGAAATAAAGGAATGGTAAAGATTCTTTTGGATGCCGGTACCGACATAAAAGCAACACAAGACGGCAGGCACTCGGCGTTGGAAATCGCTGCATCGAGAGCTCATGATGATGTCATTCAGCTTCTACTCGAACGCGGTGCCGATGTCAACGCTATCTCCAATACTGGAACTGCATTAGAAGGGGCTGCTACAAGCGGTGATATACGACTGGTACAAAAATTGTTAGGTCTTGGGTGTAACGTAAACCAAGAAGGCAGATTCGGAAGCACACCTCTCAAAGCTGCTGCGAGGAAAGGAAGCATTGAGATAGTCCATCTTCTATTAGAACTAGGGGCAGAGATTGAACACTGCCAAGATTATGGAACGCCTCTTCAGATCGCAGCTTTGGCCGGTCATCTTGAGGTATGCCGGGTGCTGCTAAACCACGGAGCATTGGTAAATACTCCGGGATTTTCAGGGACAGAAGGCAGTGCTTTACAATGTGCTGCAAACAACAACAATGTCCATAATTCCATTGCTAAGGACATCGAACTACTACAGTTATTATTGGACTATGGTGCTGATATAAACACACAAGATTCCACGAATAGGACTGCATTGTCAGTGGCTGTCAACGCCCACGGGCGCGCAGAAACAAGAAACTCGGAAATCGATCCTCGAATTTTGTTTCTGCTATCCAACGGAGCAGATGTCGATGCAGGAGCCTCTCTGGTTTACGCAGCTCGGCGCAAGAACATCAAACTCATCGAGCTGCTTTTGAATCGCGGTGCTAATATCAATATATTGCGATCACATGAAAGTGTACTAGCTGCAGCATGCGGCACATTTGAACCTGAAGTAGAGATGATCGAACTTCTCTTGAACAGGGGAGCAGATATCAACTTCTACTATGAAAACGGAGGGATCACATACAACGGCGCTGCTCTTCAATGTGCTGTAAATTCCGCTGCACGCACTGGGGACTTGACAATTGTACGCGTACTATTAGATCATGGGGCAAATGTTAACCTTGGTGCTGGAAAGACAGGCGGAGCGTTATATGAAGCTGCAGAAAGAGGCCACCTGGAGCTTTGTCGGCTGTTCTTGGGTTCGAAAGCTGATGTTCATGCAGAACAGACAACATCTGGTAGTGTTCTGCATGCTGCTGTGAGAAGTGGAAATGTAGATGTCATCGGTTTGTTGATTGCTCATGGAGCTCACGTTGATGACGAACGCGGACTATATGGTACGCCTCTTCTAGTCGCTGCACAAGCTGGATTTCTCCATGCATTCAGTCTGCTGTTTGATGCTGGAGCGGATGCCCATTATATAGGAGGAAATTATCACAACCTACTGATATCAGCTGCATGGGGAGGGAATATTGAATGCGTCGAGAGATGTTTAGATATAGGGCTAGATGTCAATGCAAGAGGAGGACTTATGAGCGATACAGCACTTTGTGCGGCTGCGCACAATGGACATGTGGATGTTGTTAGAAGACTGTTGGATGCGGGGGCAAAGGATTTTAGTGAGGGGTGGTGGGGCAGTGCATGGTGCCAGGCTGAAAGATATGGACACAGGACGGTCCTGAAAGTGCTCAAGGAAAGGGGATTAGAGAGGAAGAAAACTAAAGCGGATTTTTTGTGGCAAAGCAAAGATTTGGGTCTAAGTTCGCCTGAATAGACAGCCCCCTTTCTAGAAATCACCATGAAAGCATACATTTTCTTTGAGTGAGTTTGAATGCGCCATTGTCCTCCAAGGAGGTCCTTTTAACAATATACTTCGACCATTGGTTTTTCACGGGGCTCTTTACACACCGCTGTGGGGACGTCAATTGGTCAATAGTCACTAGTTCTACCGAAGCTCATGGCAGAAAGATGAGTCTACAAGCTACACGATGATATGGGTACCGAGAACAAAAGAGATCCTAGAAGTCGAAAGGCATACTGAGGCGAGTGATGGACATTATGAGATCATGACATATCCAGAACAAGTCAACTTCCATTGCCCAAGAGAAGTGCTAAATAGAATAAAGATCATCAATGTGAGAGTCATGTGACCCCCCCCCCCCCCCTGACATCACGTTTCGAAAGATTATGGCATGAGTCGTTGGAGGAACCGAGTTATGTTTGATGCAGAAGTTTTGACTGTGTGAGAGCACCCACATCGAAATCAACATCAATGCCGTCAAGACGTATCGAGCATCATGAAACGTGGAGAGTATTGGAGATGCTTTATCGTGTGGATCTGCATAAACAATCCCCATATAGCCTCGACAGCTTACTGATTCCTTGATGGATGTGAGTACCGATGTGAGTACAGATGTGAATACAGCGTAATTGTGTACGGGGTAAGTCTACTCTCATCGCCCATTTCTCTGCATGCAAACTATTGAAGTCTGTATTGTAGAGGATGCTGTGCATCAAGTCTCGTATAATATTCCACGTTTACGTGAGGACTTCGTGCTTGGTTTGCTGTCGATGTTTCCAAAAATACATAGGGCGACAAGGTTTCTGCTGTGGCTTTTCAGTACGAGGGACTCTAGGCCTATTAAACGGTCTGCAGGCCAATCCACTGAGGCTAAGTTTCGAGTTTGGATACAACTTAAATAATCCCTGATTATCTTTAACACATCTAATCTCAACCAATTACCATGAATTATCCTTAATTAAGTCTCCAACTTTCCTTCAATCGTTGTTTCTAGTCCGCAGATGTTCCTGACACCGTCTCGTACTAGCTCTACAAGGTTTGCATATAATCAACTCTAATACTAATTAGTCTTTGGCGCAGTAGATCCCCTCGCAAAATAATTTCCCTCATGATATTCGAAATTGGAATACATGTCTACGGGGTACATCTAGAAAGGTACAATAACAAACTTCACATTCCTTCCTCTTTTTTTTTCACTCTTCTTTCTTCCATACAAACGTTGTTCTTATAAGTTTACATACAAAATATAGAAATAATCACGTACCTATATTATCGTAGAAATACAGACTTGAGAAAATTGGTTCATTTTAATCCATAGAGATCCTTTCGTTAATCCTGACGCCTGGTCGTGTTTAGGGGTCGAAGCGTGTTGTAAAATGAGTGTAAGTCCAGTGTTTCAATTCTCTCCTCAATCAAGTTTCAATTCCTCCCCAAGTTATCTGCCATCTCTTCGATTGGCATATACTTTCAATCCAATCTTCAAATATCTTGTCAAAATTTGAAATCGTTATAATTACTCTGGAAGCAATTTACTAATAACAATGGCACAGTACGGGTTAGTTAATTTCCCCCTTCGTTCCCCTGAATACCATCGAATGACACTCTCATCCAATCTGCGACGACGAATACTCTTTACGTTCAATTGCGATAATCATGTACTGACGAGACTGCGATAGAAATAATTACGGCGGTGGTCAAAACCCGTATGCTCAACAAAATTCACCAGGCTATCCTCAATCGCCTCAATACGACAATGGAGCAGCCATGGGACGAGACTCTTATGGTGGTGAGCACGTTCGAACGCACAACAAGTATCATCTCATTAACATCGCAGCAGGACAAAATGTCGAAATGGCATCCTTGGCACAAAATGGAAGTCAACCCGGGCAACAAATGAACCCTAACTACATTCTCAATGCATGCCGCGATATCGACAATGAAATCAACGCAGCAGCTCAATATGCCGCCGAACTCGACGACCTTGGATACAGGGTCCAAACCGAACTCGACCAAGCATCTATAGCCAGAAAACTTGACCTTATTGCAGAGAAATCCAGCACCCAATTTAAAGCAATCATTGAAGAGATTTCCAAGCTCAAGAGAATGCCCGAGTCAGGAAGCCCAATGAATCAGTCGCAAATTGGAAGAGTTCAACGTAAACTCAAGCAAACAATGGAGGCATACAAGGCCAAGGAAATGGATTTCGAACATAAGATTAGAGATCAAATGAGACGAGAATATCGAATCGTCAACCCCGAAGCTACAGAGTCAGAAGTAAACGCTGCTGTACCAAATGCGGAACCACAGCAAATGTTTCAACAAGCTTTGATGACAAGCAACAGACAAGGACAAGCGAATACAACTTTGAATGCTGTCAGGCAAAGAAATGAGGCTATCAAGAAGATCGAGCAAGATATTATCCAAATTGCAGAACTGTTTTCGGAGATGGAGAACTTGGTCGTACAACAAGAAGCTGCTGTGGTCAACATTGAAATGAAGGGCGAAGAAGTTGTCGAGAATATGGATAAGGGAGTTCAACAAATGGACACGGCAATTGTCAGTGCGAGATCAAGAAATAGAAAGAAGTGGTATTGCTTAGGTCTTGTTGGTACGTATCCCTTGCATCTCCTCTCATCCCTTACTTTACACTTCCAACCACTAACATAATATTTTGTAGTTATCATTGTTGCCATTATCGCAATCGTCTTGGCTGTACACTTCACCAGTAACAAATCAGACAACAGTACCAAAGCTACTACCAAGAGAGCAGTTGTTCCAGGTACTGACTTCACTACATCAGACAGATTTGTCGTACCAGGAGCGAGCTTCGTAGAATCAAGAATGGTGGTTGCAGGCAAGGATTGGAGTGAAGAAAAGGCAGTTGTTCCAGGTGCGGACTTCACACCTGTGGTTAGAAAGTGGAAAAAATTCATCGCATGAGTGGGATGAATCTTCGAATGAGGGGGAAATGATATTTGTATATGGCAGGCCCAGTTGCGCTCTTGATGGTTCGATTTTCTTTTGTCTTTTCTGCGAATATGCATGTGGTACTGAACTCATACCAAATGAGCTGTGCATAAATAAGATTTGGGCGTATATGATGACTTTCCAGTTCAAGGACTGAAGAAGAGTAGGAAAGAGGAAAGGGGAAGGAAGGGGAAACTGTCCTTTCTAACACAAGCACGTTGAGATGAGACGTGCCTCGATACAAAACATTTCTTTGTGTAAGAATAATTGGTTCATATGGGAGGAAAAATTATATACCATACTTTACTTTTCTCTAGTTGCAACAAGCATCTTGTTGCGTTCATTCGCTTCGTTTGACATAGGGGTTGGGGAGTTCTCCGTTTCCTTAGTTTTGAGAGGAGAGGGTGGGATTGATGTTTATATAGAATATTGTAGTGTTGCTTTTAATATACGGTAGCTTTTTGTAATGAAATTCATCTGAAATTTATTTGAAGTTTGGTTATGCTTGTTTTGTGGGTTTGTGTTCTTGAGAGGTGAATAGCTTGGTATTGTAACTGCTGTTTTGGTATTGGAAGAGCATTTCTCTTGTGAGTCTAGTTTACTCTGTGCCTGGGTTACAAGTTTCTATACTTTTTGCCTGGGCTCTACTTGACTTTATTCCACTCGAACTTCTTATTGTCAGATCTGCACACTCATTGCATTGCGTTGCATTGCGTCACATTGCTTCATCTTATCTCGCCTCGTCTCGTCCATCTGACACTTTCCTACCATCCGCTCAATCCACGCATTTCATCAATTTTTACACTTCTGCTTCACCTCATGCATTACAGCTCATATCTCACATGGATCTACCTGTATATCTCTTTACTTCGCCCCTCCACTCAATCTCTCCAATTTCCCTCTTTCCATTCCCAAGCCTCCGCCCTCTCTCTTCCCTTTCTATCCCTCAACTCCAAACACTGGATAAACTAGATGTCTACCTAGATACCGAATAGATATTCACTCTCGCTACTCGCTAATCAATCTCATCCATATCGCCCCATCTATCTATCTATACTATCCATGCCATCTCATCCAACTCATCACATTTATCTACCGCATATAAAGCGTATATACCTAGTGTCATTTACATTCACTATTCACTTACACATTTCCTCTCGGTTAATACGGATTGATTTACCTATCTGAATTTCCTCGGTTAGTCAGCGGTTAATGGTCTTCTATATTCGAGTTTATATTCACTGTCAGATATACATAAAAAGGGGGGTGAGTGTGGGGAAGAGGAAGGATTTGTATTGTGTATATACATACCTATCCTTCCTACATCCGCTCCTTCTTCATCATCTAATTACTCTCTCATCGCCTTTTCTTTTTCAATTTTTGATTGGTTGAAAGATCTATCTCATTGCTTCATTACTGATCTTCGTCTTTACGATTGTTGGACTTTTGTCTAGGTGATGCATTGCATTCGTCGCATAATATTTTATCTCATCTCATCTCATCTCATCCCATCTCATTACTTTCTTCTAAAGCTTTCATCCCTATTCAACTGTTCCCATCCGGGCCCAAATATCTTTCATCCACTTGTCTTCATACCATCTTCATCTTCATCTTCATCTTACACTTCCATCCCATTCCACTTTTAAACCACATCACCACTACCATCAGTATCGCCCTCTCCCCCTCCCCCTCTCCCTCCCATCCCCACTCCCATTCACTCCCTCCTAATATCACATCCAAGTTCCAACCACACCCCCAATCCGCATATACCTAGGTAAACAGGAAGGTAGCCATACATCCCATCTAACCCCGCCCACCTCCTTCCGATTTACATTCTCTCCAGAACTCACCACTTACTTGCTACTCACTAGTCCTCCTCAGTGCTTTGATAATTTTCACTTATGTAGGTACTTAGCATATCACTTATGACCTCTTTCCATCTCATCTCATCTCATCTTTTATCACAACAATGGGTATTATGCTCTCGGGATCCCATCGCATCACATCGCATCACATCCAATCACTCATGATTGCATTCCAAATATGATGATCCATATCGAGATAATGAAATCACAGTGATTCAAACCGAAGTATGCACCAAAAAAACTGATATAAATTATCTCATTCCATTTCTCCTATGAAGACCGTTTAAGCCCTCCCTCCTAGAACAAACATTAAGAGATAAAATCAACCGTCCTATTCGCTAATTCCCATACATAAAATACTGATCCGATATCCTGCTCCATGTCCTCCTAACCCCGCCTCGCTTAAACCTTGATGTCATGTCTATTTACCATGGAATATTAATATGATATTGCGCCTATGATATACGCCTATTATGTACGCCTATGATAATCCGTATCATGTTATGCCGTGCTGTACCGTGTCATCGTGTTACCATGTCGTAAATGTATGTATTAGTTAATATATGCAACTCCACCTATCCCAAAACCTTTCCGCCCGCCCAAAGCATACATCCATTCGTATCCTGTCTTAGATATCAAGAAGCTTCAAATGTATCTCCTTCTTCCTCTCGCTCTCTCTGCTCTTCTTCCGCTGATTGTAATCCAGCTATCGCCATATCTCGTTCTTCGTCTCGTTCTTCATCTGCTGCTTCTCCATCAAAGTCATTCAATCCCATCTCTCCCATATCCCAACCCACACCGCCAATAACCTTACGTAAAATGTCCATCCGTTTATCGAATCCCTCAAGTATCTTGTCCAAATCCAAATTCCCAATCTCTTCTTGATTCATCTCGTTGGTTTCCTTTCCTTTGCCCTTCTCCCGACTCCCACTCAACTCCTTGTCCCCTTTATGAACAGGTATTCCCACCCCATCAATCCTCAACATCAATCCACCTCCCTTCTCCTTCTTTTCTCCACCCTCCTCACCCACACTTTCGAAAATCGGTGCTTTCCCAATCTCACATCCCATAACCTGCCATTTATCACTCAGACTTTGTGCTCTGACTACTCTATCACCCGTTTCGTTCATATCGATAATGATAACTCTTTCCTCTCTCTGTTTTCCCTGCGTATCCTTATTTTCCTTCTTCGTTGCTACTATTGATTTTGAGCTTGAGCTCGAGCCCGAAGTTCTTAACTCCCCAGAACTCTTGTTCGTCATGGAATTACTATTTGAAGTATCTGTATTGGACGCATCCGGTAAACTTCTCAAACAAGCCTCTTTCAATTCCTCACAATCCTCATCGTCCGAAAATATATAATGGATCTTACACGGATGGTGTGTTGTTGGCGTTTTCGGATTTCCATCTCCATCCTCAACTCCCATAGTCGAATCCGTAATCAGTGTGAAGTATCCAGCGAAAGAAGTAACTTCTTCTCTAGGCATCTGCGAGCCGTCTTGTGAGTCAGATGGTTGTTGAATATGTACTAAAGGATCTGCGACATGCGGAGGATATTCTGGCATCTCGGGGAATGGTTCTCCATATGTGTATAATTCTTCTGCAGTAGGTGAAGCGAGCCGACGTTGGTCATTGGGAGAGATATTTCGGGTGTTTCTAGGAGAACTGCTTTCTTCAGCAGTAGGTGAAGCAAATAATCGATGGTCTTCAGCAGAAAGATGTCGAGCCTCTCTTGGCGAAACAGAATATCTAACTTCCTGCGGGGAATTCGACAGATACTGAGGATTCTGTGGAGAACTGGATATCGAAATATTTCGAGGAGAAGTAGATATACGAAGCGTCTGATCCTGAGCTCGAGAGGGTGGAGGATCAAGAGAATCAGGTTCATTTGTAGACATGATGGATGGATGTATACTTGACTCTCCCGTTTGCGTGCAGTTGCGTTTTGTTGGGAAAGATGACGGAGAGGCGGGCTTGGAGTCGTTGTGTGATGATGGATATTGGTTATCAAGTTGTCTTGGTATAGTTGTGCATATGCCGTGCAATGTGATCGCGGGGATTCTTGAAATTACAAGATCTTCAATAAATTACGAAGAGTTGTGAGAAAGGTTGGAGCTTGAGCTCCGGATGATTGATTGATAGACGCATTATCGATGGCTTGGCGTTTGTCTTATCTTATCGACACGTGATCACAGTCGAAGTTCTAGATCTCCTCGAGACCATTAAAGCGGAATTTACTTTGCAACTATATTTGAACTGATAATTGAAGAGTATATTTCTCTATTCCATATTTCATCTTCCTATTAAACTAAGTACCTCTCCTGCTATGCTCAATATAAACAATCCGAGCACGTATATTCATCCATCAATGCCATCGCTTCCAAAAAACACTCTTTGCGCCAAATATGATATTCTCTTTCGTGTTACTTCGTAAAATTACACAAAGCTGTGTAAGTACATAATATACAATGTATTTTGCTTATGTATTGCCTCCGCTTCCTATCATCAAAGCTTTATCAAATTAGAAGAGTAAAGATACCACCCCCAACAGCAACCATTGTTATAGCGAAACCACCAACGAAAACTCTAGCCCATTCAAATGGTGCAGGACCTCCCGATCCGGCAGATTTTTTCGAAGAGCTAGTCGCTGATGATGTAGATGTGAACCCATTCTCAGCATTCAATCCCGTGGCAGTGGGATTGTAAGTTGCTTGACCAGTTCCAGTCGCAGTCGCTGTTACACCAACTCTTGGAATTCCAGAAGCTGTTTGTGTAACAGCTTCTTCATTTGGTGCACTCGATGCACTTGGGATAGCTGCACCTGCGCTTGCAAATGGTACGATATTGGATCCGGTAGCGTTAAAATCGGTTTGGGCAAGTCCAATTCGGTTATTTTCGAGGTCGTAGACAGCGTACGCTGATCTCAGGAAGGTATCACCGAAAAGCGTGGGGTTCGAACCAGCGGCTTGAATACCGAGTTGACAAGCTGGGTCACCATTGTTGTAAGTTGGTGTACGGCCATCGCTTGTGGTGAGAGGTAATACGAGTTGTGATACATCCACTTTGATGGTGGGACCACCCACTCCCCCAAAACCATAGTTTATGCTACCAGTCTTCTTGGCTAGAGCACATGGAACTACTACCGCACCAAGTTCTTGAGAAACTGTTGCTCCAAGTTCCTCAAAAACGATAGCTGCAACGTCATCAGGTAGAAGGGTAATCGTGGTTCCAGAGTCGAGGATTGCTGGGCGAGCAAAATCGGTAGGGGTCAATTGATCAGTTCCAGATGAGGATTGAACTGAGAGAGAAGTCCAAGCTACGGTAAAGGATGTTACTGATCCTCCACGAGAACTTGGGTAGACATCGACTGTGACTAAATCGCCCACATATTTCTCTGTATCAATACCACCGAACAATATTGAGCCAGTACTTGATTCTGTCTAGGCGTCAGCTCTGTTCTCATGATCATCCCATGAAGGGTGAAACTCACGTAAATCATCCAACCACAAGCTATAGGCATTTGTTTTGATCAATCCCGAAGAGACCATCACATTCGGTAAATTTGGGTACGTAGTCCCATTTCCAGTCTGAATATTTGCCTCGGAGCTATTGTAACCAATACCCATAATTCCAATTGAGATAGAAGTATCCGTAGCCAGACCCATCGTGAAACCTTTAACAGTTGCTCCACCAATCGAGAATGTATCTTGGAAATAATCTCCAGTGGATCCAGTTCCATCTACGTATGAAATATTGAAAGCATCTTGGTCTACGTCGAGAAAAGTCTTGGACGCAGAATAATCAACTAAAGGATGTTAGCAAGCCTCCATGATGAATTTACTTCAGAAGTATAGATAGGTATACATACAACTTCCCCCCGGGCATCCCCCATCTCTGGTATCCTCACAGATGCTCGCGCTCGAACTCGGCACCCAAACATCAGAACTACCCGTATCGATTTGTAAACTCAGTGCCTGTGCCGGTGTCCCCACTGTAACATTTGCATAATATAATCCACTAGTTACAGCATTTCCCAGATTGGCCGTGACTGTATCTGCTCTTTCTGCAACTCGCATCACCTCTCCCATACCTCGTCGCTGGAGGTGTTGTTGACGCCTTTGTAATTGTTCTGCTTCATTGGCATGATTCTTGACGATTGACATTTGAACGGTGTTTGCACCTGCAGAGCTCAAAAGCGAAGAGCTCAGCAGTAAACTCGTGAGTATCGTAGATCTCGCCATGTTTGCGAGATTTTAGGGAATATCGATGGAAAGAAGATGGCGGAAGAGAAGATGTAGGAGGTCGAGGAGGAGGAGGAGGAGGAGGAGAAAGAAAGAAAGAAAAGGAAGACGAAAGGTAAACTCGTGAATAGCCAAGGGAAAGAAAGAAGATTGAGGCTGGAAGTGAGTGAATCGTATTTATTTTCTTTCGTCACAGTGGCTGATGGCGAGGTGGAGTATGATAGTTATTGTGAATTGTGAATTGTACCGTGGTTTCCTTGTCCCTCTATCGTGATTGGATCATTCGAGGGCAACTAGGTTGAGACGGCAGCACTATCCCCTACTTAGGCAGCGAGCGAAGTAAGCTTTGATAGCTTTCTTTCCTTAAATCAAGGTTAATTCAACCAAAGTCCTTGTTTAGTGCAAAGTCAATGGGATGGGCCAGCTCGGGAAGTGAGAGGGAAAAACTCAAGACGGCAGAAGATCTTGGAATATTAGTAATGTTCTCTGGTGTATTTGAAATTTTGAATGGATGATGGTAAGAATGGGTAAGAAAATCTAGACTTCCAAGAAGGATCCGTATCGTTTAATTGAACCGTTCCATACAATCTCTCTCATGGGGGTGTACACTACAATTGTAACCTCTCTCGTGTAGGTAGGTAGGTGTTGATTGTACAATGGGGGCGGAAGATTTTATATTGAAATGGTGTTTCTGCACGCAATCTAATACCCAAAAAGTAACCAAAAGTAACAAAAGACCCTAGATTTCATTAAGACAATGTCATTGAAAATCGTGTTCGTGATGGAGAGAGATCCAATAATAAGTATCGTTTCCTTTCTTTCATTTCATCGGTTCACAACCAACATCTACCTGGATAAATTCCCAAATACAAAATGTCCAAACTTTTACCTCCTTTATTCTTCCGCCTCCCAGCCATCATAAACGATGTGATGCAGCGTTCCAGATTTTGAAAGAAGCGCTTTGTAAAACGGGAACCAAAGAAATGTGTCCGTATAGCCAAGATTTGAGACTGGTTGTTGTCACTCCGTAATGGGTTTCCCGTTTCTAAAGGGAGATGTAGGGCTTAGAATATCCAATCAAATACGACGACTACTTTCCACGTCTGACATTCCTATTCCTTTCGTCCAAATACACTCAGCTAGCTGAACACAATTTAGTTCTCCGCATAAAGATACATTCCGCCACCAGTCATATCGTACGCAATCACACAGTCGTGATCTTCCCCAAGTAACAAGCCGTTGCATTTTACCACAGCAAACCATACCATCTATACCATGGGACTATTTTGATACGCTTATTCATCCCGTCTCCCGTCACAACATTTGGAGTATCACCAGATCAACGACATTGTTAACAGCTCTACCAGGATTATTTATTTGCCCCTCGAACCCCCCGGATTAATCGGCAACTAGCCGTGCACTGCCTTCTCCCAAAATGGGCAAAGAGGCTTGGCGAAAGCTTGTAAGGAAAGGAAATTGTGTGAGTGCGGCGGCAAAGTGAGACCCTTACACAAATAACATCGTTATGAACAGTGTTGGTGAGAAGTAGTATTGAATGGGGTGATTGATTATACAAGTACCTACCTCATATCATGCCCGATATCGAAGACTCCGAATAACCAATTTCATTTGGTGAAAGGTAAAGGGGCGAGAAAATAGATTGACATCGAATCTCTGACGGACATCACACATGTTTCGATTGTTGGCGGCCACGGGAAGTAAGCTGAGTTCAATCTTGGGTCCTTGTTCGAGGGCCAGCGGCGGCAGTTATAAGGGTCGAGGTATGTTTTGGTTTTATCATACACCTAGGCAATGAATGCACCGTGTGGCTGTGCAGCGGTAGGTACTGGTGACGTGTATGACTTCATGATGCTACTTGAACATTTGTGAGCTCGATGGCTCTATCTAGTGGTTTTTTTGTTCTGTGACATTGAGGGATTTGTCCATTTGGCAGATTCCCGAGGTAGTTTGAAAATGTGCTACTTACCAGATATTAGCAGACTGAGTGAGGAGGGTACTAGCAACTCTTGTGTTCTCATGCGATCGGTATCATTCGCTCTTCGCTGCAGGGTGTATGGCTGGCCTTATGCTTTTAGATGGCAAAATCAGAGGACTTCATTGCATTTGATATCACATGATCATCTCGCGAAGAAATGAGCCTACACGAGAGAGAGGAAAGGATACTTTAGTAGATGCCACCAGGTTACCGAAACCAGAAGCTTTTGCTAAAAGTGCGTAAGTATTCGAGGAAGGTGGATACTACACGCGCTGTACGATACGGACTTCATGCTTGACATGCTGAGAACCGTGGAATACGTCGAGAACAGAGTGATATTTGAGGTTTGTGGGTGTGAGGTAGAGAATGACATCTTATCACCTTCTTCAGTGTGGATTCACAGACTTATCCCTCCGCTACTATTCGAAATAGGATGGCCCCATCCATGTATCGCAGGAACGATAGAATAACCTTCTTTTGGTTTTGATTAAGTCCAGAAACCACTCTCGATAGATGTTGTTGAGGCTTACTCGAGAAACGAAAGAATATATGCAATACAAAATATTGTCTAATATTGTCTAATATAATATGTACACAGCAAAAACAGATTCGGTTGGTATCCTTTTGGAATTGAATTGCGAAAATCGACGGTGGAAATGATGAAGCCCGTTAACAAACATGTCCAGTAGCTTTTCCTCCAACTGATAGAGCCAGAGAAGTGGAAATGAGATTTCCAAAGTACATTGTGAATCTTTTACTGATAATGGAATATGTGAGACTCTTGGAGAGATCTCGAGGAGGTTCAATCAATATTATAATGTGAGCCTTGTATATTAGGCTCGAGTACTAGACTTATCCAGTTTCAACTTTCAAGCTTGCTCGCTCGCCATAGCAAAGCTCAATTCAGAAACTCTCAAGGGAAAAGAGGCCATGGACAAGCGAAGATGTCAATTCGCCCTGCTGTCAAATCATGGTCTTCGACTTTAAGACTACCTAAATCTTCTTTTCCGTAAGCAAATCTTTGGTTTGGCTAGTCAATTGTTAATAATTTTCTCGAACCACCAATTGACTATAACATCATCAGTCCTCGGCCTCTCCCAGCAGACCAAGCAAAATATCTTCAACGATGCTCCGATGATCTTTACAAATGGCAAAGCCATGAAAGATCTACTAAGAAACCGTTCATTCTTCATGACGGTCCTCCATACGCCAACGGACCTCTTCATGTGGGACATGCTGTAAATAAACTCTTGAAGGATATTATTTGTCGAACCAAGCTTCAACAGGGTCACCGCGTTGTGTGGGTTCCAGGATGGGATTGTCATGGCCTTCCGATCGAGATCAAGGCTCTTGAGCAACAGCGCGAGAAGAATAAAGATGGTGGAGGGGTATTGGATGCCATTGGAATTCGGAAAGCTGCTCGAAGCCTAGCAAGCAAAACCGTAAAAGAACATATGAAAGGCTTCCGGGAATGGGGTGTTATGGCAGATTGGGATAATGCTTGGAAGACAATGGACAAGACATTCGAAACCAAACAACTTGCGGTTTTCCAGGAAATGGTCAAGAAAGGCCTCATTTTTCGACGTTACAAACCGGTTTATTGGTCACCTTCATCAAGGACAGCTCTTGCGGAAGCGGAGCTCGAGTACAACAACGAACATATTTCGACGTCTGCTTATATCAAATTTCCTATCACGAACATTTCCAACGAACTAAAAGACATTATCCCCAATTTAAATAAACTTTCGGCATTGATATGGACTACTACACCTTGGACCCTTCCCGCAAATAGAGCCATTGCATTTCATCAAGATCTGACTTATTCTATTGTCAAATATGACGACGAACACTTGATTATTGCCGATTCTAGAATCTCTGCACTACAAGAGTCATGTTTCAAAGATAAAGCCGTTGAGGTTATTCAACGAAATATTCCTAACTCTATCCTCAAAACTCTGACATATACCAATCGACTCCGTGGCCAAAACTCTGATGTCCAACCCTTGATTCATGCTGATTTTGTTTCGGCTGATTCTGGCACTGGACTGGTTCATTGCGCCCCTGGCCATGGTATGGATGATTATGAGGTTTGCACTCGTCTTGGTATAGAAGCTGTTGCTCCTGTGAATGATCTTGGCTGCTTTACCAATGCTGCTCTTCCTGACGATCCAAGTGCTTTGTCAGGTAAGTCGGTTTTAAACGATGGCAATATGGAGGTTCTGAAACTTCTTGGAGATCAAGTTCTATTCACATCAAAATATAAGCATAAGTATCCATATGATTGGCGAACAAAGCTTCCAGTCATTGTCAGAGCCACAGAACAGTGGTTTGCAGATGTTGGCGATGTCAAGAGTGTTGCTCTAGAAAGGTTAAACGATGTGTCATTTGTTCCTCAAACCGGAAAGCAAAGGTTAGAGAGCTTCATCAAGTCTAGGAATGAATGGTGTATCTCAAGACAACGAGCTTGGGGGGTTCCAATACCTGCACTATACGACGAAAATGGCACAGCCTTGTTAACTGATGCAAGTGTTGCACATATTCTATCTGTCATCGATGAACGAGGCATTGATGCATGGTGGTCAGATCCAGAGAATGACCCGGCATGGATTCCCGCCGGACTGAACGGTACATATCGACGAGGCAAAGATACTATGGATGTCTGGTTTGACAGTGGCACTAGTTGGTCGCAGACCGATCAACGTGCTGATGTCTACTCTGAAGGCACTGATCAACACCGAGGGTGGTTTCAATCGAGTTTGTTAACTCACACCGCTGTTGCCGATAGTTCAGAGGCACCTTTCAAAACATTGATAACACACGGATTCACTCTTGATCAAAATGGCAAAAAAATGTCTAAATCAATTGGGAATACAATAGCACCAAGCCAAATAATGGACGGTTCTCTTCTTCCGCCTGTGAAGATGAAGAAGAAGGGCGGTAACATTTCTCAAGGACTGGGAGCTGATGCATTACGCTTATGGGTCGCTAGCAGCGATTACACCAAGGACCTTGTCATTGGTCAACCCGTTCTTTCGACTGTAAACTCCGCTTTACTAAAGTATCGAATCACCTTCAAAATGTTGCTCGGATCAATGCATCAGAGTGCGAGGACTTCACCATTGACTAAACTGGACAAAATAGCTTTGGTTCAATTGAAAACAGTCATGGCTGAAGTCGAGTCGGCTTATGATTCATACGAGTTTAACAAGGCCGTAAGTGCAATCAATCGATGGATTCACACAGACCTTTCCGCATTTTACCTTGAAGCTAGTAAGGATAGACTTTACTGCGGTGATGGAGGAGGTGTCCTGGAAGAGATATTCCATGGTCTCCTGAAGATGTTAACTCCAATCACTCCTTGCCTTGTTGAAGAGGTTTGGAACCATCTGCCTGCCTGGATGGCTGCCGAAAACCCAGTTCATCCATTTCATCGTGATTTTCTTGATCCTATCATCTCTTCGAGTCGGCTCTCTACCGAAGAATTTTCATTGATTGAGCAAGATATTCCATGGTTGTTAAGCGCACATATGGCCATCAAGAGAGCACAAGAAGAGGCTCGTTCTGAAAAGATCATCGGGTCTTCTTTAGAATCATCCGTGTTGATAGATTTGCCATCAAAAGGCCAGGAGATATTCAAGCGCTATGCAGATGAGCTAGAAAGTATCTTTGTTGTGTCATCCGTGGAGTTCGGTAGCGATGTTAATAGAGGTGATTGGGAATTTTCCATGATGTTGCATCCACCAGGATGGCATGGCCAGAATGAGGAAGGAAGAGTATGGATTCTACCTCCCAAGGAGAAAAAGTGCCCTAGATGTTGGAGGTATGCAGCTCCAGTAGAGGATGAGCTTTGTAAGAGATGCGAAGATGCTATTGCTGTATAAGTGTTGTTTATGTACGAGTATGCCGATGAATAAAAGATACCCACTTCTCACACTGTCAACCACATTCAAACCATACGAGCTGTTCAACCATTATTTATTGAAAGGATCCAACAACCCATCACACAGAACCAATTGGAGCTTTCTAATGTGATTAATTTCCTTGATTCCTAGCTAGTTATATACGTTGTATTTCAATATTTAAGAGCATAGGTTGGTACGTTTCGCGTAAATCTCATTTTCCGATGAAAATGGGTCTTGAGCTAGACTGGCCTGATAATGTTGTGGTCATGGTGAATGGGCGCTTAGCGCTAATTTTATACCAAAAAGGTCATTGGGTTTTCACCTGGTTCACCGACTAATCAAGCCGGCCTACCATGGCCATTTATAAATTTTAACTAGCGTTAACAGGTAGTTCCTGTACTATCCTTACCATGTGACCTATTGGTCTACATAGCACAGCCATCGCCCTCTTATTCATGTATGTAGGCAACTATGATCTGGTCTTGTGCTTGGAAATTGACCGGTTTTTTGAGGTGCATGAATCCAGGGGCCTATTGGTTTAGTCGTGTATTGATAGGGACCGGATTGCCGTGAATACGGAGCGACCGAACCATGAGAGCCTAAACAGTTTTGTGTACCCATATTTAAATTGTTGAAGGGATATATGAATGGGAGAGGGGATGTGCGTCGTAAGGGTATCTTCACTAAGTCTTAAAAAATTTCTTCATTCTCTATACTTTCACTTACACAGCATGGAATATGAAGGTGATCGAAGGGGGAGAGGGAGAGATCGTCGCCGGGAAGACTATGGTTCTGATGCCGAAACAGTGAAACAATCCCATTACTCCAAGTCTCGTGAAGCCACATCGAAAAGACCAACAGGACGCGCCAAAAGAAAAGACAATCGAGAGGGACCACCCCTTTCTACATCTGCTTTTAGTCATGGTTTCGTCGAGGCGAACACCGCTAGGTCTGAGGCTCCCACCATTGCGAGTATTAGTTCAAAGAATCATAAAAGCGCCACTGTCGTGGGCGATGAAGTATATGAGAGGGACATGCGTTACGGCATAAATGATGGGAGAAGTCGCGAAGCAGCTGTTGACAACTTTCGTACAGGAATGGAGCGAAGACAAGGATCTCTCCGTAAGGAAGACAGGGATAGAGTTCTCTCTGATTGGACTCAAGAAACGGTCGATCGTGTGAGGGCTGCTCCACCACGAAGTCGATCTCAGGCTCCAGGTGCAAGAACTCCATCTCAGGCTCCAAGTGGAAGAACTCATGCTTCCAGGGCAACAGAGAACACAATGCACACAAGGGACTCGCGGGAGACAGGGAACACAAGGGAGAGCAGACCCCGAACAAGAGCAGAAAGTGTGGATCCCTCCAGTAGAACATCTCATAGTACGCGATTGAGAGCAGGAAGTGTGGATCCCTCCAGTAGAGCATCTCATAGTTCGCGATTGAGATCAGGAAGCACGGCAGCCCTCGACAGAAATCCCGTGCAGAGGGGCGCATCATTCTCTATGTCCTCTTCCACGACAATGATGATGAGTGATGACAATAATGGTACAGCATTATATAGTCAGAGACAACACCAATCATCTTACCGTTCATCTGGTAATGGTAGGAGTTATTCTGAGATGGATCAGACGATTAGTATTGGACTTCCTCGCTCTGGCGATATTGCCGATTCCAAATATAGGCCCTCGAGAGGCGGCGAGGTACCAAAAATGGTTGTCGACTATTCTCAGTCCGGCATACAACGCATTCGTCCTGGAGATACCATCGGTGGCGATCCTGCAAGACACCGCCCTCTCATCAAACCGCTACGTAGAAGGAATAAGCTGGCTGGGGATGGGCTTTTTGATAATTCTCAGTCGGGCGCTAAAACCATCACGCCGTCCGAAGCCTCAAGGCTTGAAAGGGATGCAGCTTCACGCAGTGGATACACCGAACGCAGTGGACGCCCTGGCGATTTAAGGTCGATGTATTCGGGAAGGGAGTCTCAACGTACAGTACCATCAATGGCGCCTTCCAGTAATTCACGCCATACCCTAATTCCACCACCATCGCTAAACAGCCGTCGCGAGTATCGAGCTCCTTCTACAACTCTTAGCCATACGCGTCGCCTGGCAGAAGATGAAGATCTTGCTGTTGAGCGTGATCGCTATGGCAGAGAAAGATATTAAGATTCCAAGCAAAGAGATCGATTTCGAAGTATAGATAGGTAGCAAACTTGGTGGTAGCAAGCACGGTAGCGTTAGCGAGCGGCGTTAGGGTCTGCTTTAACAGATTTGATATTGCATGGAGATGAATGTAGTTTCCATGAGCTAAAGATCTTGGGCTCATCTTGCGGGTACTTGGCATTGCACTTTTTGGGGTGTTTGGATTCGTTTATCGGTTTAGATTTAGTTGATAGATCAGGCAGGCTACTTATGAATAGAATTCGGATTTCAAAGTTGAGTATTGTGAAGTCTAGTTGCGATATTTTGAATATTCTTCAACTACTCTTGGTTGTTGACGGATGTGCAATTTTTGATGAAAATTAATGGTTTTGATCACCAGTGGGTGTACGGACTGATAGGACACTGCAAAAATGACTTAGATTAGAAGTTGCTACAATGATTCATTAGAGATTGAGCAATGAAAACATAGATTCTGATATCAAATCATTAAAGAATGAGTTTGTTAAAAATTTCGAAAGTCGAGAAATTTAGCATCAGTCCATACAATCGCTGGTGGGTTGATGTAAGATACCAAGGAACTTTCTATAAGGATCCTTCGCAGAATCAGAAGATCCCCCGCAGCTGAATATGCAAACATGGTCGCGCAGGGAACTCGGTGCCACATCTTCGACAAGCGCACACCAATACCCTTAGAAACCAGAACGTGGTGAAAGAACAATGAAGCACCATGCGCCTAATCAACACCACCACTTATGAATTCTCAGAGTTTCACGGCGATGATATCCCCAAGTATGCAGTTCTATCGCACACATTGGAGCACGACGAGGTCACCTTTCAAAAGTGGGCATTCTCACGGAGAAAGGCAGAAAAGAAAGCTGGATATGCGAAGATTGAAGCGACGTGTAAATTGGCGTTGAAGATTGGATTGATGTATGCGTGGATGGATACGTGTTGTAATGATAAGAGTAGTAGTGCGGAGTTGAGTGAGGCTATAAATTTCATGTTTGCGTGGTATGCAGGGGCGATCGTTTGTTTTGCTTTTTTAGCCGATATTGTTGAAGGGGAGGTGGAAAAGGTGGGGTCTCAGCTTGGAAGAAAGTTAAGAGAGGGCTTGAATAAAAGTAGGTGATTTACGAGGGGTTGGACATTACAAGAGCTGTTAGCTCCTAGTAAATTTGTGTTTTACTCAAGAAACTGGGTGAGGCTGGGTGATGAATCGAACACTCTGACTCGAGTTTTCAGTCATATAACGGGTATCAGTGCTTCGTATCTTCTGGGCTATAGCCCCATCACAGCGGCCAGTGTCGCGCTGAGAATTTTTTGGATATCGCGACGCAAGACTACGAGAGCATGTTAGGAATTTTCGATATCAATATGCCTCTCCTTTACGGAGAGGGCACGAAAGCCTTTGTACGACTCCAAGAAGAAATCATTAAGGTATCTGACGACCACACGATTGATATTGCGAGTAGAAAAAGATGGTTCTGTCATATCCTCCCTGCAGGTTCCTGGCCAGATGACGAAGTTCGAAGAAAAAAATTGTTGAGGTTATTGGCAAGTCAAGTGGCAAGTATGAAAGGGGTCAGTGAGATAAGAGGCGATTTCCACGGAAATTGGAGGACATTTTGTTGTTGATGGGGATGATCGTGGGAACGGAGACGGAAATGGCATAGATGAGGAGGACTAGAGGAGTATCGTGACGTCGAGGTTGGACTTAGGGTTGGGAAAGGAGAAGATTATGGAGATCTCCAAGAGGATTGAGGAGTCATTACACATCTAAAAGTTCAACAATGGTCCTATCTTTGACGCGTACAAAGATGAAGCTTTTTCGAGATAGCTAAAGGCTTATAAGTGTCGGGACCTCAAGGACATAATTTTGGTACCAGCACACAAAGCATCCCCTGGACCGGCGAAGCTTTATCCACACAGAATTCCATGCACACGCAAAGTACAAGTAAGACAATTCAAAATGTATCGATGTTCTTTTGCTCGCTGTCATAATTTTGGTATATTCATACATAAACTCATCCACTTCATTGCCCTCGTCTCTGTCTATAATGGAACGGAGCCATCATCTGCTTGTCATGTCATATCCATGACAAAATGATAATCAATCTCTCGATCGATAGCCTCCGCTTGCAATGTCTGATTCCCGTTCACTGGAGAGCATCCCTTGCTCTTCCCCAATCCACTCATCCTCAGCAACATTTACTTCAAGGTCACTGGCATCAACATTGTCATTGTCAACATCCATGCCATCACCGACTTCATCAGTCGAATCGTCTTCCTCAATCAAATCATCTTCTTCATAAAAGACTGTCTCACCATCTTTGCCCGTTCTCTTTACTATTAGCCAACCGTATTTACCGAGTATTCTGTTAAAGAAAGGTCAGGGCTAGGATTACAACGAAGGACCTAAGGGATGCAGAACTCAATCCAGCTTCCCAAATAGTCCATCGCATTACCCTTCCCATTAGCCGCCTCCTTTTTAACACACTGTTCGAACTCCTCGAAGTTTATCTTTCCCAATCCACCTCTCTCCTTGCCCTCCTGCTCAACATTTTCAATCTTCCACAACTCGTATAATACCTCATCACTTGGTCTCTTATCTTCCTTCTGGGAACGCTGTTTCTTGGGGCTGGAAGAATCTGCAGCTGGAGGTTCAGAATCTGAGATTTCTGAAATTGACTGGTGTTCTCCGACAGATCTGCCAGAAAACACATCATCTGTGACAGAATTTGGTCTGAATTGAGGGAGGGTAGGATCTCTATGCTCAGACGATTGAGTGCTAGTAAAACTGAAAACCTCATCACGCTCTTCTTCTTTCTCCTTGAGGTGTACGTCGATGTAGAACAGAAGAGTTGGTGGTAAGAGAGGCTGCAAGGCATAAAAGAAATCGCGTTGTTGGTAAAGATTGAGGTTATTTTTATCAACATAATATTTCCATGCCCTCAGAGGATCGTCCTTGTAATAAGGAGCGTGTTGGAATTCGAGCACTGCCATATCAAGGTCAAATTCACGATGTGAAAGACCTGATAGCTCCAAGTCAGGAACGAACATTTCATTGGCTGTGTCATTGGCTGTGTCATTGGCATCACTAGACTCCTCCACTTGGTAGCCCGTAGCTTCTAGAAGTTCATCTAGCTGTCTCAAGCGTATATCCTCGACCTCTACCTCAGGAATAGTAGGCCATACAGGCCGTGGATTGTTATTCGTTCCTCCAACAGCATCGTTACCTGGGCGAACGGTCTCGCTAGCAACTAGTTTATCCTCTTCGACTCTCTTAGCCGTAGCCCACCTCACAAAGTCAACAGTGCTGAAAAGATGTCGGTATTTGTCGCGTTCTTTCTTTGTCTCCAAGACGGCCACCGCCATATCTTCTTTAGCTAGGAATAATGGATCGAGTATTTCATTATAGGCTTGTTGCGAGACTTGGTACAAGATCTCCTTTCCCACGTCTTTTTCTGCGTCAGGTATTTCTATTCCACCCCAACGTTCAGGAACGCTCCGCGAAGATGTCGAAGGATTTGAGCGGGTATCAAAGTCATCAATGTCCTCCGCAAATCTTACCTTAGAGGATGAGCGAGAATGAATAGTCGGTCGTTGATTGAATTGAGACTTGGAGGTTTCTCCGTCAGCGCCAACTGTAGCAAGGTCTTCCTCGATATTCCAGTCAGCAGGTGGTGATGCTCCTTCTTCTTCATCAGTGTAAAATTGTCTCCGCTTCCATCTCTCGTGCAATACATATCGGGATTTCTGTCTCTTAATAGCATGCTTTATGATGAAAGGGCGAGCACTTTCCGGAATATTTGACAATGAGTAGTCTGATCCACAAACTGATTGAACATCTTCATCAGTTATGTTCAAGTCTCGTCGACGACGTTCAAAATTTACAGTTGCATGCTCCGCAGGTGTTAAAAAGGGATTTTCGGAGATATTAGATGCGTCAAGCAAAACAGGGTCATCTGGAACCCACTGGGGATCGTTTTCTTCAAGGGTTTCTCGTAGAATTTCCTCGGAAATTCTTTCGAGCACAGCATCTTCGCTCTCTGTAGAGGGGTCTTCCATCAAGAATCGCCAGTAGCCTCGTGTCCTTTCAACGGGACGCATCGCAGCTGCTGAAATCCGACTAAAACTAACAAGAGTATCATCTCGATTTCCAGTATCGTTAGCGCTTGGCCTCATCACACCCCTTCCATCCCAAATCTCCATCTCTCCATCACGGATGATTTTTCCCTCGCCGGCCCGCGATTCTAAAGTTGGAAATGGCCCTAGGCCTGCACCTGAACTTTGACCAATTAATCTCCCCAGAGCGCCACGGCCATTAAGATGAGCATGTGCCTCCGAGCTCATCATATGCTGCTCATCGAGACCCTCTACCATATCCTTATGCATTTGGCGATATAAGACGTAGTAGGAGCGAAATATTCGTAAGAAATCTTTCCTGTCAACGTAACCATCGTCGTCAATATCGTATCCCGCAAAGATCACACGCCATTTATCCTTTTGTTTGCGGTATGCTTGACCTCTAAGAAATTCTGAGAATGAGATTAGATCATCTCTGTTGGTATCGTAGAAGGCGAACATCCTGTCGAATATAAGACTTGGGGCGTTGTTCCTATAACCGCCACTGGGTACCAAGCACCGCTCAAATGTTCTTCTGTCCATAGCTAAGTGAATATCATCGGGGTCTTCTGGCCAAGGTGTATTTGCCATGAAGTTCCATTGCTCAAAGTATGCATCCAATTCCGGCCTTTCAAACCCTGTCTCGTGAGAATATTTCGCAATCAACTCCTTTGGCAATGTGATCATCCTGTCTTGATTCTCGGGATCCCCAGTATACCACACAGGTTGTATCTGCCTTGGTCCAAAAGATGGTGCTGGTACTCTAACTTTATAGAATATATGCGTCTTGGTATGTAGTCCTTGTGCTTCGCATGATTCACATAGATCAAAGTCTGCACAGTTTGCACATCTATATCGAATTCCACGAATGGGAACTACTGAACAACCGTTACAGCCACATCCTCTATGTACGTATGCATTCCTCCTTGTAGCATCTTCGGAAACACGAAAGAGGAGCTGAACAATGTTTTGACCGTTTCGTTCAGCATCTGCAGTTGGTGCTCTTCCTGTCAAGCCACCCTCAAATTCCGGGCCGTCATCCACCACTGTATCTCCATCTGTCAAAGGTCTAGCTACGATATTTGCGTCTTCATCTTCGCCTGGTGGAATGGGTTGTAATTGAGCAGGTATAGCCTCGTCGCTTGATTCTGTGCGTCGGCGCCGGTAAACCGCATTACTTCTACGTAGTCCACTACTCCCAGTGTTGTCTTGTGAATCAGCGACATTTGTGCTATAGAAATAGTATATTCCATATGCAGCGGCACAGCTGGTGAGGGCGAGTATTGCACCCCTGCTTCTCGATAGTGTATTCGAAGCTGTTATAGATGTGGCTGACATTGCTGCAATAAAATTATTGTATTGAAGTTTGGCTTCTCAGTTTATTGTTGGAACTCCTAGGTTGAGGCAACCAGATCCGCAGGAGTACATGGCCGCATCTGTGTTGTCTAGAATAAAAGAATTACTCTTGGTGTTGAGTTGTATAGTATTGTGAATATGGCCAACAAAATCTTTGAGACGCGACGGGAAGGGACTCGCATTGTGTCGAGCTTGCCAAATGTGAATTATTCAGCCTTCCCTCTTATCGCTTACGCTTATCACCACGTGATTATGATTACCCCCTCTCGCCTCTCCCCTCTCTTCATCTTTCCTACCTAGGTAAGTACTTTGTGATGTTGTTTCCTTGTAAATCGAGCATTGTTGTACAGTTATCTTTATTAAGGCTGTGTGCTGCTTTGGTCGGGGGACCATGATCTATCAGTCTACAAAATGCCAACTAAACGCTTTATGTCTTTACTCCCATGAAAATCACCAAGTATCATCATAACCTGCAATTATTGGATTCAAATAACATGTAGAATAGAACATAGCATTTCATAATAATTGCAACAGCATATTGAAACTTTGGATATCCTAAAACACCATAACGCCAATTGTTGACCCGTTATCCCAATCCTTTCTTCTTGCCCTGTAGCTCCTTTAGTAACAACACCGAAAAACGCTAACACAGTGAGTCTAACATTGCTCCTCCTTCTAGTTTCCAACCATTTCTCCCTTATCCTGCCGTCCTTGGACTCCGTCTTCTTCCTGTACTCTGCGCAAATATCTCAGACCCCGGTATCGTATTTTCTCTTCCCTCTAGAGCAACCACGCTGGGTTTTTTCGATAATTTTGGCTTTGGTATCTTGCCCGTTGCTTGCTTTTTGAATGGTGGAGTGGACCCATCGGAATCAATGGATCTAGCTGAACCGTTTGACATTAGGCTTTGGCTTAGGCTTTGGATCTCTGAGTTCAGTGTTCCGGCGTTTACGTTCACGTCGATCTCCCTAAGTCCAGTTGGCTTATTTTCTGGTTCTTCGATAGGAACAAAAGCTACCTCTTCATTTACAGTAGGGTTAGAATCGTTGTAAACCACTGGGATAACAACTTTGCTAGGTGATTGCATAGCTTGTGGCCGCCGAAGAGCTGCCAGGAGTGTTTCATGCGCTTCTGTCCGAGGCAGATGCATTGTGTATTGATACTGAACCTTCTGGGGAGTCTCTCCTGTCGGCTCGTACTCCTGCATTGTCGATTTAGCAATGGTAGCGCGAAGATTTGCAAGTGGCTGTCGAAGATTGTCATCTAATGGAGTAAGGTTCTCGGCTAAGGCTGTTGTCTTTGATGTCATTTCGTCGCCGAGATCCTTAACACGACCAAATGTTGATGTGAAGTGTGCACCGATATTGTCATACGAAGATTTGACTGTAGACGATAGACCTTGAAGAGATTTCGCATGCAGATCATGATGCTCTGCATTCTGTGCTCGTGCACGAGTGACAAAGTCATCGAGTGCTTGCATTTGAGTGCTGACATCCTTCATTTGTTCATCGACAATGCGAACGGTCTCATCGTGTACAGATCGAGTCGTAGTTTGAATAGAAGCATTGTGTTTATTTGCAGCCATCCAGTCATCCTTTAGCTTTGTCTTCAAAGTCTCCCTAGCCCTCAAGACTTCCTCGACAAGTTTCTCTTCGTTCTCGTTCCACGCATCCATGCCTTCGCTGTACTTGACCCGAGTCACTTCAAAAGTTTCATTTGATGATTGAATGTCTGTTCGAACGGCGGCGATCTTCTCACCGAGACGTGCATCTTGACTTGCACCTTGAGCCATGACTAAACTCGAGATCTGTGAAAGCAGATTCTGGCGATCTTCAGTGGCTTGCTTTCGTTCTTCTTGGATTACCTCGTCGAGTTTGGAGTTGATGGCAGTATTCGATTCCATGGCGGCCTCACCAGCGGCATGAAGTTGTTGTCTTAGTTCGTTTGCCTCGGCTTTCTGTGCGTTGACGTGCTTGAGTAGGTCTTCGAAAAGTGACTTGAAATCTCGACCTAGTGAACTGTATGATCCATGAAGCTGGGTATGGAAAGCACCAAGTTCACTGATCACTTCTGCAGAAATTCTTTCTGCTGCAACTGCTAAGCCTTGGAGGCCTTCACCTACCCGGACTTTGACATCCTCCCGAAGAGTTTTGATCTCTTCAAGAACCGCATTCATCTCTTCCTTGGCTGAATCTGTCTGCTCGGACACCTCCTTCCCAGAAGTTTCAAAAGCAACAACGTTCTCCTCTAGGAAGGCTTGTGTCGCCGCCAATTTTTCCAGTTCGCCATCGACGAATGTTTGCATGCGACCTGAGACGGCGTCCATAAGTTCCTGCTGTTGCACTCGGAACTCCTCGACCCGTGATTCTACAAGACTCGTCACCTCGGAGACCTGAGCCTGTGAGAGGCCCCAGGCATTTCGATTCAGGGTCTGAAGGGCCGACTTTCGCCTATTCTTGTCATGTAGACCGCCAACATCGTTCACTGTGCGTCCCAGCGTGGAAAGAAGCTCACTACCAACAATGCTAAGTTGTTCCTCGGTCTTCTGGTGAGCCTTTCGGAGTACAGACTCTTCCTCCAAAGTCCGGCGAGTGTTTTCTAGTACTGATTCCGTTTGTTCTAGGACACCTTTTGTCTCATCCAAGACAGATTCCGCCGCCTCGGCCTTTTTCTTCATGGTCATGAAGTTGGAAGTTATTGTGTATAGTTCTTGGACCTTATTGCGAAGATTCGTTTCCATTGTCTCGATTTTCTCTGCCTGTTCTTCACTAAGTATTCTCCGCGATTCACTCTCGACTTGAATTTCTTCAAAATTCTCATTGGTAAGATAGACTCCATTGCGCTGTCGGGCGGCAATAAGTTCGCCCTTGAGTTTTTGGATTTCATATGTAAAATCTTTAAGAAGGACGTTTTTGGAAACCTGTTGGTTGACTTGAGGTTTGTTGCGAATGTTCTTGGCTCTGAAGGCATAGTCCAAGGTGGAAATTGTCTCCTCTAAATTGCTTTTGGCAGGAGAAACTGTTGCAATAATGCACGTTTTCGTTCGGCCACCGAGTGAATCTTGAAGAAGACGTGTGAGTTTCGATTCACGGTAAGGAATGTGAACATCACGAGAGCTTCGATCCACCAGGGCATTGATCACACGACCAAGAGTCAATAAACTCTTGTTGATCAAACCAGCTTCAGCAGCTCTTTTGTTCTCAGCACCACTGCGTTGGATATTTTCACTTCCTGCTAAATCAACCAAGTTCAGCTTGCCAGCGCTAACATATTCCTCCCCATTTTCTGCTGTCCTCTTGATATAGGCGGTAACTGTAAAGACCGTGTGACTTCTACTACTCAGGTCGTTACACTTGGTTGAGGCGACTTGTCTTTTGAAAGATCCATCCTGCAGAATCTTCACGCCGTCTCTAGCGGTCTTAATATACGATTCCTCCATACCCTGAACTAATGTTGTAGTACTTCCTTTTTTGCTGTTGTCGTCGTAGATCTTTAGCTTTGTGCTATCGTTGACAGCTATCAAATCGCGTAGCTCTTCATTATACAGTTCGATGAATGAACACTTCACCGAAGATTCCGCGTCATTTAATTCGAGTTTGTTGAACAAAGCGTGAAGGGCGCGAGGTATGATTCCAGCATTATCTGAAAGGATCCCTAAATGATCGCTCATATCTCCGGACATTGTATATGTTTTTCCAGTACCAGTTTGGCCATATGCGAATATCGTACAATTGTATCCCGCAAGCATCTAAAACAATTAGTAATGCTTACATGTAAATAACAGCAGTGAAAGTACCTCATCAAGAATTGGAGTCACAACATCGTCGAAAATCATGGCTTGATCTGCTGCAGATGAAAACACTTTGTCGAAATGGTAACTTTTGTTACTGAGAGCGCTGGGACCCATCGATAAATCGAGATTCTTGCCCTTTACTCCCTCTGTTGAGAGTACAACACCGCTGTTTTCCTTGACTTCGCGCTCATTTCGACCCCTACATCGTACCACAACATTGATATTTGTCTCTCCACCTCCTTCATGCTCAAAATCTCTTTCTTTTCTTTTCGTTCCCGTAGTAGATGTAGCAACAGATACAACTGATCCTGTTGGCGAGACTGCTCCAGATCTCGACGGCGGTGGCATCGCTGAACTAGATCTAGAGGTAGAAGGTCTTGGTCCTGCTAAAGAACTTGATGGTCTTGGTGGAGGTCTCATGGTGTTTATCCTTTTATTTACAGCTGGCGCTGGCGTTGCTCGGGGTATTCCTGCCATAACTGGCGATTATAATATATTGAAGGAACCTAATTCTGCGTCGCTCGCGAGGGAAAGAAGGACAGCAGGTCGGCAGTATGGGTGTTTGTTTTTGTTTGTTTAGAGATCCAAAACTGAGTAAGTGAGTTCAACGCGGGGACCAACGCGCTAATAGCAACAGGCGAATAACTCGATGCTGATGGAAGATTTCAAAGTCCAGAACTTCTTCTTTTACCTTTGAAAATATAATGTCGTTGTCGTATTGTTCTTGTCGCAAATAATTGTTGATGTTTCTTCAACATTCAATCAATACAATCAATTTCTTTGATCAACATTTCATTTCTGACAAATTGTTGCCCCGGCAACCAAACTAATCCCACTTCTCTACTCCAAGCATCACGAGCTTCCAGCCCCACCATGCCATCACTCTGGAAGTGTCTCACTTCCCAGTCGCAGTCATTAATTCAATATTCAAATACCTCGAGTACCAGTACAAATACTTTACTGTCTACTGATAATTCAAATACAAATGTAGCAGACATGTCGTTATTCAGCGCTCAAGTCCATCCAGGACGAGCTCTGGGCTTTCTAGGTATATAACTACATTGTTCTCCTTCACAAAGAACTGAAACTAATAATATATCCTCAGTTCTAGGAGCTTCACTTCACGAAATTATCACACGAATAAAAGCCGAACCACAACGATTTCCTAAACTCGACTTGACCTATGAGCCTGTAGCTCCCGTCGATGAACCTGTTATCCTCAGTCTGCCTTCCAACGGCATCCGTTTACGCTTTGATGGACCTCAGCAACGTCTGCGACTGATAGAAGTCTTAGACTTTACCAAAAATAAACTCACATATAATGATCGGGAGGTGTTAAGATCTGGTGGAACTGCTTCACCAAACGGCGCAGGAACTGGACATCTTACTGGGCCAACCTTTCGACATATTTACAAGAGTTTAATTGGACCTACATTTCCTGGAGAATATATCAAGCCTGATGCTGGAGATGAGACTGGAATGGGCCTATATGTATTATCATATCCCGGAGTCGCATTTTCCTTCCCTATACATAAATCATCTTGGTCGCCCGGAAAAGATGTTGTTTCGCTACTCTCATCATCTGCCGGCCAACCTGCTTCTTCCATGGCCATATTCTCAGGGGAATCTTGGCCCGAGGCAAGAGACAACTTGTTCACACAGACCCTTGAACCCCTCAAAACATTTGCTCCCTTGACAAAAGGTCGCGAACCGGTTGCAGATGAAATTGGCCTTGTTAAACTTTATGGTGGAGGAAAACTTGAGTTGATTCGTCGTTTCAACAATACTCCCTTTTGGATTCTTCTCGGTGAAACAACTCCTCAAGAGCTTGTGGCTGAACTCGGACCACCTGATGCTATATATCGAAAGAACGATCAAAAGATGTCGATTCACAAACCTCGGACTGCAAGTAGCACTGGTAGGCGACCAGCCTCAACGGATCTCCGAGATGATTCGACCGATACCGACCAATCCTCAGCTCACACTGCGACGGATGATTCTGATGATGATAGCGGTGAAGGAGAAGCAGCAGGAAATGTTACGGGAGAATGTTTCTACAATTATTTCTACCATGGCTTCGATGTCTTAGTCTCTACTCCCACATCACCCTCACAACTTCCCCCGTCTAAAGCACGTTCTCAACAAGAAAATAATCGAGTTATTCCCACAGATGCCACCGCCCGTCTGGTAGCTACAAAAGTGATATTACATGGTAATGTCCCGGGCTCATACCCATTCAATCGTCATCGACGTTGTCGCTGGGAAATCGAATACTTGTCGCCAAAACCCAAGTCTAAAATCATGTCCATTAACTCCGAAACTTCTTTCCCGTCTATTGAAAGCAGTCTTTACGATGAATGGAAAAGCATCTATAACAACGTCGAAGAAGCCAAACAACGACAACGCGGTATGGTGCTGAATCGCGATTGGGGCGATAGTCCAGGAAGTAGTTGCGAATTACTTGGTGGTTGGGAAGATAGCGTAGGTGGGAAACGAAATGCTGAGAAGGAAGATGAGAAGGGCTTGGGAAACACTACTTTATTTGGATTTCCGGGATTGGTATTTGAAGTTCTGAAGAATGGTACTGTGAGTGGTGTTACGGTGTTTTGATTGGGTGGGTGAAGTTTTGATGGATGATGGGTTGGATACCAAATGTTTTGGTGCTAGTTCGGGTGTTTTGGTGATACATATATTTTAGATTGCATACATACATGGGTGGGTCATTGAACGGTTCAGGCATTCGGGAGTTCATGTCATTTGTAGTGATATCAAGATTTACGATTAAAGCATTGACGTTCTGAATATAATTATTTTCTGCTGCGAAGCAGTTGTTTTACTGCGCGTCCAATGCCATCTTCTTCACTCACCACAAGTGAGTACTTCTTGGTAAATAACAAACATGTTTCGAGGCAACGGTGAGTAAGTGAAGTCACTAAAGAGAAGGTCCCTTAAATATGATACCGAGGAACATTAAAGTCCCTTTTTGAGCAAATCATCATGTTTTGCAATTCCTATCACACTCATCGTCATCCTCACCCTCCAACACATCATCTCTCAAATCAATTTGTCTCAGGAGTTGTCATAGATGGAGATGGAGTGAGAATAGAGAAGATAGGGAAAGGGTCAGTGGTCACGGCAAGCAGACTCATTAAATAGCAACTAAAGATCACTCAAGGAATCATATTGGCTTTCGTAGGTATTTTCAACCAATACTTGACAATTCTTTCTGAACTATCCCGTGAGTTAAGTACATTTGTAGCACATTTCGCTATATTGAGATGCGTCATCTACACCGTGTTCACGTCTGCCAGAAAGTGCCAGTTCCTCGGCGAAGTAAGACCTCTTAACGCTACCTGTGTTCGAAAGATAGCAACCGTGGATTCGCTTCGATATGATGCTAAAATTTGTGACTGGAGAGGGGGAAGGAGGACAGGCGTGGAGGAGATTCATCGCTAGCTTTAGTAGTAAGCATAGGAGTTCCTCGCGCAGAAGTATCGAAATTCGACTGCAACAGAGCAAGCGCCAGCTTTGTGGCTGCAGATATTGAGAAAAAGAAAGCTTGAATTACTGTGGTGAACACATATCACAACGGCATTGAAGCTTTAAATTTCCCGTTTTATTATTGAGACACTAAAAGACTGCTTTTCTAGTATTACTCCCTTTCTCTCCTTGCTGTTAAAAACCGCATATCAGCATATCGAATTGAAGCTGGAGGTTTCCAATACCTAAAGTCGGGTTGCAGAGCTTTTAAGAAAAACTAATACCCTCACCAATGAACCCAAGGTACTAAAGAAGTCGAGCCATTGTGCGAATCATCATGCGTTTCCCATATCCTTTTACATATCGCTACCGCTCCTCCAGAAAGTGACCACATGGCCGCCTGGAAGTAGTGCCGTTAAACTTAGATAACTGCGATACCGTTAGTACACCCTCATCCGTAGAGAAGTCAATGCCAAGATTGTGCAAAAAAATGCTAAAATCTTAAAGTCCAAGCTGGTTATTTATACTTGCTCAATTGTATCAGCCTCCATTTGATTATCTTCTTGAGCTTTTAGAGGTTTTCCACTTGGTTGGAGAGGGCTCCTCGGTCTTCAGGATGATTTGGGAGGTCGATAATGTTGGTGAAAGTTGACTAGAATCAGTTATATCGGCGCTTGACTCCGTATGGGAATCTGAGTCTCTGTCCGCAGGATATTCGTAGCTGCTTTCGTTCTGGAGAGGCAGAAGCTTAGAATATGATCCCGTTCTACCATTGCCTTTGGTTCGAACTTGATAATGTGCTTGTCGAGAGCGGGAATCGGTTGCTGACCCAGGTTGCTCACTCAGATTCGTAGTTGCTCCGGGCGTTGATAAATTATCATACGCTAGGGGTGGCTCGACCCAAGGAGAAAAGTGGCCGCGGGACTGAAGACGAATTGCCGAGCGATTTTTCGCTGAGGGGTTATGAATTAACTCTGGTTGGCTAGATGCTGGAACATCGGCTTTCTGGGTGGAAGGCGAAGCGGTTTGTGATACAGCGACTTGTGATGCAGCGACTTGTGATGCAGCGATTCGTGATGCAGCGACTTGAGCATCATAAGCTTGTTTCTGTGCCTGAACCTGTTGGTGTTGAGCCGGAGTAAGGTTAGGTGGTAACTTGGAAGCAGCAGTAGGCTGGATAACCTGTAAAATGTTTGCAGTTATCCTTGATAGGATAGGACTATTTCCAGGTGAAAACGTACTCCCATAAGTGTATTGTTTAATCTTAGTAATTTGTTCAACTTCCTGCGGGTCCTGAAGAGATGAGATGAGATGCTTTGCGTCGTTTTCAACGCCCTACACCAGGGGAAGAGTCGTTTGTAATTGTCGCTGCGGAGGAGTTCTTCGTCGCCATCATCGCTCACTCCCCTGAAATAGGTATAAATATTTAACCCTACGCATCAGAGTGTATGGTTAGTCTAGAGCTGTATCAACATGATGACAAGTTCGTTGAATAGTGCGAGTACTTGCAAATAAGTGCTTCATTATAGTTCTGACGCTGGGTGTCATTGATCGCAGTCAGGGTATCTTGAAGTGGATAGTGGACAAGATTACACGTTCCTTGACCTTGAAGGTGTTTTATAATTGGACCTTTAGCCATGGTTGTGACCTGTTCAGATTTCCTAATATATTTTTCAAAGCTTTATGTTGATCAATTAAAGACAGATGGAGAGGTACAAACACGTTCTTTTCAGTGCCAACTTCTACCGAGGGAGGCCGCTTCCATTATGTCTAGTAAGAAATAGATGAGTTGCTGTAGTAACTGAGTAATGGTAATAGAAATCGAGATGCAATTCAATCTCTCTGTAGGTCACATGAAAACTGGTATGTTATTGTACAGTGTAGGAGATGGTAACAGATGCTCTGATCATCCAGATATCATCAAATTTTCAACTATTGTTTCTCGTTTAAAATTTTGAAGAGTCTTCTCAGAGGGAGTCTTAGAACTATTTGAGGAGTTTCTTACTGTCATAAGTTAAAATTCATTTTCTCGTCTTGAATCCATAATTTCAACCTCAAGTATTGTCTAACACTTGAGATTGCAAAGTGTTGTTCCTATTCTTTTATGCTCTCCCGAAAGAAAAGCATGCTTGTGATGAAAAGTTGAGCTTTATCTTGATGTCTTGTATCTATTGCACGAGAGTCAGTGGTTATCTTCTTCTTCTGAAGATGGCTTTGAATACTCGAAAACACAATTCTGAAGAAGGAATTGCATTCTCATACGTCTCTCTAGTTCAGTATCATTGAGATATGTTCCCATGAAGAAGTAGCGTCCCTCTAGCTTGATATTGTTGAGAACTGCCTTATGAAGGAGGAGCATACCTCTAAATTAATACCATTGAGATATGTTCCCATGGAGAAGGTGCAGGTACCGCAAATTGTTCAAGTTCCACAATAACAATGCAGCTCTCGTCTCATCACTCTCATTTCATCACTTTCGTCTCGTCCTAAGTATCGAAGCCATCTGAATGTTATGATCGTTGGCGACATTCCGTTTGAAATCATCAGATATCTATAATTTGCAGAATAGGTGAGGTGCTTGTGCCTTGAACCGCCATGATTTGTCCTCAAGCTTGAGAAGTATAAAATTCCAAAGGCGCAGGCGTTGTTGCTTATGTCAAGATGGAACAACAGCAACGTGCAAGCACATGTAATGATTCCCTTGCAGCAATGATTGAGGTGGAATTTGTAATTCAGAAGTTACATTGACAGCATTTCAAAGTAGGCTGAACGCTGAAACGTAAAATAAGAACATTCTCGAGGAGCCATATACTGAAAGGCATGATTATCACCTTGATATCGAGCAACAATAGTGGTGATATTCACAATAACAACAATGTGAGGGTGAATGGGTAGTCCTTCTTGGATTTTACTTTGAAGATTCTGCCTGTTCGAGTGACTTGAATGAAATGAAAAATACACATGCGAATTTGACCTACTCAGACGAGGTGAATAAATTTACACTAGGAATCCGAACACTTCACAGCCTGCACTTTTGGCCCTTTCCGCGCATATTCGCCTGCGAGTGTTGTTACTCTAGATATTTCCATATTTAATGTGTTTACATTTCCCTAACTGCCCCTCAAAACCTCAAATCTCCACACCATTCTGATCTATTCCTCAACCGCAAAACTTTTCCGCTTCAATACTTAAATCTTCCCCGACGTGAAAGACTAGGACCGCGATTTATACAACGAAAATCAAAATCCGAGTGAATAAAGAACAATCAAATCGTTTCATCTAGATGATATGGCCAGGCTGCATTTTCTTGGTTATCATATATGCAAATGATATTTTCTTGAATCGTTGCGGATGAACCGAAAGCTACATTTGAAGTAACGACCACCATGGAAACTCTCAAACCGAAAACATACTACGTCACAATAATATACACTAACGAAACAACCGAGTGCACATAATTGAGTGGTAGCAAGTAATATTCGCACTTGTGAATAGCAATCCCGTGGCAGGCTGATGGGCATATGCGCGCTTGTGGAAACTACTTGATCTCTCCAACTTTTTGTACGCACAACAAACAGAGATCCATGGTCCTCCTCGCAAGTCTCAAAAATATATTGAGAGAATATCATTTGTAGGTGGGGAGAGAGCAGTGGGAAAGACAATTGAGTAACAAGATATCATAGATGAAATTCTTGGTTGACTAACCTTCAAAATCAACACTAGGATTGCATGAGCATAAAAAGACAGCAATGTTTGAAACCCCAAAACGTGAAGATTATGAATGATATCATTTCGAGAACCATTGTTCCATCATAACGTTGAACATCAACCACGAGGTGAATACCCCGAGTATCATTCATCTAAGTCTACCTCACAACCCCATTTTGTCCCACATCAACATCAACCTCCACTATCGGCTTATCATTTCTCTCCAACTCTCTTTGTCTCTGTACACTCTCGTCCATATGATCCGCAAAGGCAAAAAGTGCCTGACCCGCCTCTCCAAGATCATTTACACTTTGAGTTTTCTCCATCTCATCGTCTTTCTTCTCTGGCCAACTATCAGGCATCTGTATTAACCCTTCATGTAATGCATAGCCCGCCACCAATCCGACAGCCGCAACTAAACTTCCCGCTGTGATAACATATTTCCAGATGCTACCCGTATCAGTGTCCTTTTCCTTTTCGCCACCATACCGTCTCATACGATTATCTTTCCTCTGTTGTCCCACAATCGGTAACGAATCTGCTAGACTCGCCAAAAATACGCCTCCGATATTTAGTATACCACGAGCTTCAGGCGCTTGCCAAGGTAAACTCCCTTTCTTCTGTTGCACTGCATTTGCATTCCCGCTATTGCCAGATTTGGTAAGCAGCGCATCTTCCAACCCAACCACACCATTCCACGCCTCATCTTTCAGCTCTTCAACCCATTCAACCAAATCTGGAAACTTTTTCCTCATCGTCTTTTGCAGCCATGGTTGTGGTAACTGCGGATACAGCATCAGAGACATAAAACCTAGTGCTAGACAATCTAGACTCGACAATTTCTCATGTGAAACAAGATATTTTTTATTTCCTTTTAATTCTCTGATTGCAGAGAAAAAGTCGCTCGCTAATGCATCGAGCCGGATTTGCGCATTAGTTTCAGGAGAAGCTTTTAGTAAACTTGAGACGGATTGTTTGCCCCTCCTGAGAGATTCGGGTATGATACTTGGTTGGTCTCGTGATTTATCATCCTCTGTATCTATATCCAGAGCATCTAGACCTAGATATTCTGTTCTTTTTTTAGCTTCCGTTCGGAGATGAGGCGGTGTAAGATATGGCAAGGGAAAAGACTGTATCGTATTGAAAATCGGACGAGTGGTTTCGGAATAATTCTTCGAAGAAACATAGAGTGAGAGATCTAGTAACGGCTGTCCATGCATTTGGATAAAAGCAGAATATCTAATCGACCAATCAATAAGCTTTGCATCACAATAAACATAAAGGATCTCTCTATCCGTTTTTTTCTTCGGTAGTACTTACGCTGTACAATCAGCCCCTTCTTGTCCTCGTAAGCCCGCATCTAGATTCCATTTCCCAGATGAATATTGTGTGAGAAAATCGATGATGCTTCTGTATCCACCCACCCAATGAATGACCCCATTCCTGCTATCTTTCAAAGCAGGTAATTCATCTGCAGGATTATATCAATATTGAACTTTTCCTCTTTTGACCACTCAAGGATTGGGTGAGGGGTAGAAGGATGCATTCTCTGCGTCACGTACTCGTGGGACTTAGGGTTGGATCACTACTAGCAACAAGGGACCATTGACCACGTGGGATCACTTGCTGCACGTATGCAATAGTAGCTAAGCATTGTGCATCAATGGAGGGTAAACCGAATGATGGACCCCAAATATGCAGTTCAAGAACCATGATTGATATGTGATATAATGCGGAAGTTATGCGTGGGTTTCTGTGCCAAGTATAAAGTGGTGTGGTATGATTTTTGAGCAAGATATGATTGAGGTTTGAAGTATGGGTTAAAGATTCAAAGCAAAAAGATGATGGAATTGAGGATTTTACTTGATTGAAATCTGCAAGTCGTCTAAAAGAATCAATTATGCCTTATGCTTTTCCTTGTAAAAGCTACTACAATTGCGGTGAGCAGATGCAAGTAATTTGTCATGTATCAAATTGTACATATGCACACATGCATATATTGTAAACGGTGAAGGGAAAGTCGGCACCTAGACTGGTATTGGTGTTGTGGTTGGTGTTGTGGTTGATGTCGTTGTTGATGTCGCCGTTAAAGTTAACGTTAGACTTGTCAAAAAATATTGATCAATTAATAAGAAATTCCCCTCCATTGTTGCCAAGCCTTTCCCTCGCGCTCCATCCCGTTCCTGGCGTTCCTGAGAAAATTACCCGTGTACACGTGATGTGGTTTTGTCTCTTCAATTCTCAGCTGCTCGGCGATACCCAACCACGACACAACCAAGCACACAACCACCAAAAACTATTAGATGCATCTAGCTAACAGCCTATCGGGATATATGCTTACTCTCCTCTTCACACAGCACACACATGTACACAAGAAATAACCCCCAAGGAAGCACAACATCAACGTCGCATCCGTCTCGCCGTGTTGCTGTGCCACAATCATGCAGAGAAGAGTGTTGAAGACCAATTCTTACTTTAACCTATCTACTACCTATCTACTGCCTATCTACTGCCTATCTACTACCTATCTACTACCTGGTCACCAAGACTGTGTAAGTCACTTCAACCTAGCAACCTTAACCCACACCACCGGATTTTTGGTGTGTCACTATCACACCCAATATTGGTCTTGAAGAGGTATAATTGAAGATACCAAGCCTTCTTCCCCTCATCTTTGTAAGCCCGAATATATTGACTGTACGATTCCACTCCAAGGTATCTTTACATACGAAAATACACTAGGAATATCAGTTGGATTGGGTTTTCGTCTCAGAGAAGTCATAGCTTCTATGCATCAGCTGGTTACACTGTCACAACAATATGGTGAGACATATCCATCTTCCTTTTCCTTCTTCTCAGGAACAATTTCTCGAAATTTACGCCAACCCGTTTTCGACCTTTCTGCTGTTGAGCCAAGGTATATATCTCAGATATCAGAAACCCTCTTCATCATAATGAACCGCCATTTATAGAAATATCTTCTCCTTCAAAAGCAATAACATCTGTACAACGGGTAGGGTTTAGTCAGTAACATCAGGAAGAATGGAGACGATCCCTTGCATCATAATCGATTAATCTAAAGTTTAAAAGTTCGAGAAAGTTGACAGGCTATGTAAATCCATCCGATCATTAGCCAAGTTCGAAGGATTAGATTGGAAGATCTTTATGAGTGACATTAAATTCTGAGTGTTGTGTTCCGTGGGTGATCACGATTGAAGATCTTTCATCCTTGTGAGGAGAGATGGCTTGATTATCTATGATGTATGTTGTCTTATCGAAAGGCGCGCGCGAGCCTGCCAAAAGGAATGTGTTCACGGACTACCACGACTACTTCTTGTCTGACCTCAATAAAGCTTTTCTAAAAAAATCTATCTATACCTAAACATGTATTCAGAACTCGCGTCTACTTGAGCTTGCCTGTCTGTTTGCCTGCTTGATATCGTATAGTCATAGACTACTATCCTACATCCTATCCCCGATTACTCACCCCGCATGCTTGAGACAACCAAATTGCTACTGCCTACTCAACGGGAAGGCTTCGGCGCTGGTCGATCCCCTGTAGGTCGGCGTTCGGTCGCCTTGTTTACACCCCTCACCTCATACACCATGCTTCACTCTCAGGTGGTACGAATTGATATCGGTGAGTCTCCTCCCTTGGCTAATCTAATAGGTCGACAGGGGGAGAGCAGGATTTTCACGTGAAGATTCTGCGCACTCTTGAGGCAGTATACCCTGGGAATAGACAAGCAGACCAGCAAGCAAAAGCTCATCTGACCCATTTTTCAAACTTCGGTAAGGCATGGTTGGGAATGGTTCGTATGACAACGTATCACTACTGGCTAATATATTCCAAACGACCAACCATCATCATCGTGCTCGGTCGCGATATCAAGGAGGCGATGGCAATGATTATCATGACGATCACATCATCCTTTGAATGTTCCTGCATGCGAGATTTCCGAGCATTATATAGTGGAGGAAAGTTTAACGAGCGAACAAGCGTGGCGGTTTTGCCTTATTCACATCGCCGCTCGCTTTTGCCCTCGCTGAGTGAGAATATCGCGTCGGTAATGCTTCTAGAAAGGGGAAATAAGGATTGGGGCAGACGAGGCAACGGAAGGATTATCAGCCCGGGAACTTGGGTGCCCAATCACATCTTTCGTATCGAATTGACCGTATTGTTGACCCAAGCATGTATCATACCTACCTTGTGCATCTCATTTCGTGATATCAATGTGAATCAAGGAATAATATTCTTTCTCGCAAACGAAGAATCGGTCAAGCACCAATCGCTCGCGGTAGAAGTGTAAAGTCAAAATCACAATCAAGCATCACAGTCAAATGGACAAAAAAGTATAGTGTGTAGTGAAAAGTTTCAAGATTCAATTATTTCTTTCCCTCGTCATATCAATTCTCATCATATCAGTACATATCGCAATCTTTCCATGTCCATGGCGGTGATGCTACCAATCCTTGAAAACTCCCTAGGCCCTCAGTAGGTAACCTATCGACCCATCATATTCCCATCCATAATCATCCTGATTGGATATCCTTCCATCGCGCCAGTAATAGTAATACAAGTATGCATATTAAAACCTCATATGTGAGTAAGACCGTCGCCGCGGCATGTAGTATATTGGTACAGTAAATACTCAAAAGTCAAATGACAGATGAGTGTAAAAGGGTATCGAGATAGTAGCGTGCAAGCAATTGAAGATGAGCCTGCTCGAATCTCTGCCGCGAGAAGAGAAGTTGTGGGTAGCGTGTAGTATGAATTGAGAGTGTATAACCACTGCGCCGTTCGGTCCGATGCGCATGCTCGGGTTGGGAAGAAACCTCTTGGGGATACTTGTGCAAGAAGCTCAAGAAGCGCCGAAGATGAGGTGATGTTGCGCGGAGAAACTACCATTTAGTGCCGAAGGATGAATGGCATTTATGAGGCGTGAGTAAGGCGGGTATGGTATGCATGTGAGGTAGCAGTGTAATCTTGACTCTCAAACGCGGATTCGGTGGCTCTCTCAATTTGGAGGTGAGGTATCGAATTGGTATTCGCATTGTGGTAATGAGTCCATGTTCCCTTTTAGCTTCAGTTGATGTGTTTCTTGTCCAAGAACTGAAATTTATTTGGATGGAAGAGGAGGAAGAGGACGGTTGGGTGGTGGTCCTGGGCAAGGAGGAAGGTTGGTTGGGCGATGTTGAGCAGGCATATTGATTGATTGGGATAGATTGAACTAAACTGTGGTGTGTATGGAGGAAGCTGTTCAGATGAAATGATGATTGAAGTTGTTGATGATCTACTCTCGAAGTGGGAGGGAGAGGATTGTTATATCTTGCTTGTGGTGATTGATGAATGTTTAATCGCAATATAAAAAGATTGTTTCTATTATCGATGTGACCTGAAACTTGTAGTAGATAGAGGTAGCGCTTGATGAAGTGATACTGAATAATCTATTTTCTCCTTTGCAGCAAGTTGGGGTCCTGGATCTTTATGTATTTTCGTACACTCCTCAACTATGCGTGCTATGCAAACCACAATCAGAAAATTGACCAGGTTCAACCTACCTGGGGAAATTTGTCCATAATTGCTCATTCATCTTGGATCAGCATCGGAAGGTTTGGACCTGACCTGGTCAAAGTTACTGCCAGGGCGTTGCAAGCATCCCACGCTATCGTGTTTCATTTTGGGCTGCACTTGCGTAGGTGCCAGGTACAATGGTCTCAAAGTAGTCTTGTTGCACTTGGATGATTTTATTGTGGAGAATTTGAAAAATAGGTGATGCATGCCCAGGGTGAATATAAGATGTTTCTAAGAAAGGGAAAGTGTGGTATGTAAAATAATTTTAGTTTTAAGCCTTGTATACGCCATGGAAATGATGGTGCATTGAACAGGGGAAGCTTCAGCTTGTTGGTTTTATTATTCTGCCGGCAACTTGCATTCGTGGTGGATTATTAGGAGGTGTTCATAATTCTTCTTGCATAGTCACACTTTAAGTTGATGAAGGGGCAGGAACCGAAAGACATTTGACAATGGGGGAAACTTTGGACATAGTAAGAGATAAGATAACTAAAGCATCACTCATGTATTGGTATTCAAGTTGTCTACAAATCTATTTACGAATCTGTCTACGAATCTATCTCTCACGGACCTGAGTATGTCTTCCTTCTACGAGAGCATAAGTATTCAGATGATCTATAATCCCATTAGACATTCAGGTCTACTCAAAAAGTAATATTCATTTTGTTTTGATTATCTCATTAGTACTATTTTGGTAACAACAGGCGGATAACAGGGGCAGTCCACATTTGCCGAAAATAGTTTGGTCAGAATGGCAGAAAATAAATGGCAGAATAATTTCCTTGTCATTCCTAATCCACATTTCTACGATGTAGGAAGTGATCAGGCTGAAGATTTTTGATTGACGGGCGGCTTGACTTTTTTGAAATGAGGATTTTGATATTGATGAGCAATTGAGTAAAGAAAACTCCGAACATTCAGATCTACGAGGCAAGGAAGGTAGTCCATCGGAGGTTAGCTGAGTACAGAGTATAGACGGATGTTGACAACAAAGCCTGTTTTCTGTTTGCTGTTTGCTGTTTCTGGTTGTATATGTTATTATTATCAATCAATACCGAATTCAATAATAGTTCCCACGAGATTTCTTGGGTTGGGTTCGGTATAGCGCTGACTGTATTTCATGAAAGTGTAGGCAACCTCCAATAAAATCTCCAGGTTCTCAGCCTACTAAAACCAAGCATTGCGCATTGCGAGGAATCGTATCAATAACCCAGCCTTGTAAGTTCGTGTACCTTTTTCTGTGCTGACGCTCGATACCGGATATGTACGCCTCAGCTTGTATATCACCCAAGGCTACGATTATCAGTCATAAATCTATCATATGATCATTCAATATCAACCGCAATAACCAATGACCAAAATCATACCTAGCTACTGTCGGTCAAACCACGATTGTATCAAATGTGGGGTGTTCGTGGCTCGCTTGTAGGTGATTCGCATGCCGATGCGATAGACTATAGCCCGTGTTTCCCCTCGCATCTCTTCCCGTGTCTCTTCTCACCTGATCTCGATGCTGAATTGGTGAAATTGTTGGTGATGATGGTAAGCGTCGTTCGTACATTGATCAATCATAAGCTACCGTAGGTACCAATCTCTATAACGGGAAGAACTTCAACGGTCTGCGGGCATAATTCGCTGTCCACGCACCATACACACGAATGCGTTCGTTGAGCTTAATTTTGGGCTTTGGCCCCCTTTTTTGAGCCGCTACCGCTGTCTCCGATCGTGAATAGAGTCTTCGATACGATATCTAAATTCAGATAGCAGTGCATGCATACCCGCAAAGATCTGTTGTAAAAATGCTTAAATTGTACAGAATGATTGGGTTATAGCGTACCATTCAATTAAAGCTATGTGCATGCAGCAATCTAACAGCAGTACCGCTCAGCAATTTCTAAATATGCATCACGGCTGTTTACCTCACAATGTCTGAGCATGCATGTACAAGATGATTTGGCTAAATAGCACACTGCTCATAGAATTTTCGTATTCCAACATTTATCCATGTTGAAAACGTGGAAGTGATAGATTTCTTTTTGCCTTGCCGCTTACCATCTCAACACCGTTCTCGGGAGGCTTGTGGTACCTGAATATTAGTGTTTTGGTTGTTGGAAAGGTTAAGAAATGTTTCTCAATGAACGCCCATGTTTCCGAATGTTCCCGTAAAATATAACTCTATAGCCGAGTTCATCTCATTGCGGGCTTAGAAACCATAAATTCAAGCGAAGTGGCTGAGTAGTGAGTACATAGTTACCAAGCAGTTACCAAGCAACACTCGACATTTTGGGATACGAAAGACATAGGGCTTGAACATTCAATAGATTCAATAATCTCGAGTCCTTCTATGGTGAAATTCTCTTATCGCAAAACCAACTCAATCCAAACCGCAAAAGAAAACACGAATCCAAGATATCCAATTTCTTGACATCAATCTCACATGCGAAGAATCTCAGAATCCCATCTCCATAAGGCCCATAAACCTAAAATGCCAAGTCAAGGATTAGAAGTCACCTGGACAGAGAAGGGTGGATAAAGCATGCCTCACCAGCAAAAGAAACTTACGATCTTCCCCTCGCTAGACTTGCAAATCCCCTGATACAAGGCTGAGGAGACTCACATAAATTATACCTCATCAATGTAACCCCAGCCCCTGCGTTTGTCGCGCGAAATCGAAAATTGGAGAGATATATGCCCTTGCTTCCAATATCAAACTACTTTTGAGTGCCGAATACACCGAAATGGATGTTTCTTGCTCCGTTTCTTTATCTGTCCTCCGAGTATCAAGCGAGTTGGAAGGTGGAGATGGAAATTTTGAGGTTATTGAAATCAACTCATCTGCTATTCCTTTCTTGACGTTTTTGCACGATGTCGCTTCCGAAAGAAGATGTCGCCGTTTCCACATAAGGAATGCCCGTTCTCAAATCGGAAAGTCTTGGAGAGCTTAAAATCCCTTTTTTCACTTTCTCACAGGTGATGGTGTAGATCGGCGTTTGTCGCGCAAATTTGAAGATTTCCTCTGCTGATGGCACCTGTCATTGTCTGAGCTCTCGGACATTAATTTCGCCAATTTGACGGCTTTTTTCAATCCCCTTCATCTCAGCAATTTTTCTTTCCCTCGATAACCGAATATTATTCACCCAGAAGTAAAACAAGGGTTCATATATCTTGTTTCGATATGTTCGGGTAAAAAAAAGTATCTTCAAGTGTGAGTATACCTATACTATACATCTCATTATGTGTAATCTATCTTTACCTGTTCTTCGGAATGGGTCAAACCACTGAGCAATGATTGCTCAATGATCAAAACTTGATGAAGCCTGATCATGTTAATACGAAGAACTATCTTCCCACTTTCAAATTGTACCGAATGATATTCCGATGCGGAGACGACAATCAGTACATCACATTATGATGCAACAGCGGAGTTGTCGACAAGCTTTTTTTTTCATTTCCCACCATCCACCAAACCCGAGAAAGATGAAAGAAAAACTTCACCGCCAACTTTAATCTTCGTGATATCGAATTTCCCCAAAGAAACGTCACCATGATTCCACTATTGCATGCAGGGTTAGCTCTATCTCGTTCTTGATGCCTGCGCTTGATTTCGGCCCTGGGAGAAAAGATTTCAATGCGGTGAGAATAGATTTAACTCAAGATTCTACACATGCCAAGCTTTGAGACCTCCAGAAATAGTTCATGAAAATGGTTCGTTATATTGACATCAGTTAGTTTTGAGAATCACCAAGTTTACATACATTTTCATCTTTAGTTCTTGAGCTGATGTGTCTATGTACGCCGCTACCCTTTGGCACATTAACTACTTTGACGTCGCATAGAACTCGAGATCGAGAGTTTGGCACGTTGATCTCGATATATTTGCCAGTCTGTAGTTCAGCTTGGACGAAATATGCTAGTCCGAGAGTTGGAATCAATAGCTTCAACGTTTTGATAGAGCACTATACTTTGTATGTCTCTCCATAGTGCCTCTCTCCCCTCATCATGTACTCAAAGCTTGCTAAAGCTTGCATTTGGGATCCCAATCGAACTGCGTGTCCACCTGGATTGGTAGGATCATCCTCGCCGTTGCTGGTAATGTGAAATAATCTTGATATTCGACGCCAGTATACCTTCAAGCTGCACGCAACCTCTGCCCGAAGATTCTCTTCCTCAATTCCCTGAGTCCCTTTGGGCATATGACAAAGTCCTGCCAAGTATAACTGCGAACAACCAAGAAATCTTCATAAAATACATTAATAATGTACATAAATAGCGAAGATCATTCGGCCACTCCGTACCGTTTATCCCCACACACCAAGCCTTTTCAAATACTCCAAGACAAACCTCGCAAAATGTAACCAATCAGAAACAAGTGAAATTAATTACCTGACCATCCCACAGAAAAATTCTAGAAAATTGTAGATGGTGAAAATCAGGGTCATACTCCACTCACTGTGTACCTGCGTATAGCCCTGCTTCTCACACAAAGTAAATCTATCAAGAACATCTCTAGTCACGTCACTCCACCCTTCGACGGGCCTTCGTATGCATGCACGTGTGCATTCTGTCAAACCCATACCATCAGCATAACATGTACTCCACTACTTCTAACACGATTCGAAGAATCTCAACAGCCAAGCGTAACGCATCAATCTCAGAATAATCTCACATTTCAGATGGATTTGAATCCACCTCAATCTCATACTCAATGCCAAAACGTGACCGTGACCTCCTGACGGTGAGTATCAAACTCTTCTGAAACCCCATCTCGGAAGTTTCCAGATGTCTCCATTCTTATTTTACTTGAGATGAAAATGTATGTGGGGTGTATGGAATTTGAGAGCTGTGGTTGTAAGGAATGGACTATGGATGAAATGAAGGGGTTAAACGAATACTCTAAGTCGTTATGCATCAATTCTGCTTCAACCAACAAACAAACAACAAACCCGTTTCATGTTTCCGCACGAGCCGATTTCGTGCTTGACGGGGTACTTAATTTGTATTTGTGATATACAGAGTATGGAGTTATTATCTATTTACGTAGTCAACCACGATTCAAGGTGACTCCGCAGGTAAGGAAATAAAGGAGTTCGCAAGCAAGTATCAAAACATGCGGTCACCGGTGGCAATTCTCGCAAAGATGGAAGAACCTCCTCTCCTTTACTGAGGGGCAGATGAAAAGGAGATCCACTCTTGAAAAGGTCGACATGGATGTTATCTTCAATTCCCCAAACTGGCTAGAAAAAGCGAAATTTCCACCCACGTCGTGGAGCTGGAGATATGTATGTAATTTTAAAATTTCTTTTTGATTCTTGACCGCCTTACAAGATGCACTCAGCCACTGAAATGATCTCCACCTGGGGTTTTTCATAAATTACCACTCACAAATTGCAAAGGGCTGGCACGGTAAACGGTACTTGGTCTCCTTGTTTAGATACGAATGCAGGTCCCTGATTTGTGATGAGGGATTCCTGGTTTTGCTTTTTGCATGGAACCATTGGAATGTTTTGCTTGCTTCAAAACTCCCTTGACGCCGCAGAGTATGGTGGATTCAAGATTGTGGAGTCTCAACAAAATCCTTCGAAATTTCTTCTAGAAGGTTTGCTTTGTTTATGGGGCGAGTATGGACAAGGGGGGGAAGATTACATGTATGGAATCATGGAAGCTTACATCAAAAGCAATGAAGTTTTCTCAACATCAGGATTCAGGGCTTCAACTCGTCTCCGCTGAATTGATTGTATTAATGCGAGAATTTCAAGGCTCAGGGCTGAGGCAAACGCCGAATATGTCGGTATTTACATATGGGAAACTCGGATGGCTTGATCTAGGATCTGGGATTTGGACGAAGTTTGAGTTTGAACACACATGTATTTCCGGATATTGTACAGATAATGTATGCATGTGGAAGGTACTCGTGTTTTTCTTTTTCCTTTTTTGTTTCCGGGGTTTGAAGTTTAGGAGTTTTGAACTTCTGAAGATGCTGTTGAAACACCTAATTTGCCACTGAAGATTTGGGAATCCGGGCTTACGAATTAGTGATGTGTGTTGCAACGTATGCCTGTAGTATAGGCACTTATCAATACTGGAAAAATTATTGATAGAAGTATTGTGTCCTGTGCAGGCTACAGATATGGCCCGCTGAAACTACACATCTCTGAATCCATCTGTGGAGTAGTCCAGAATTCCAAAGGAACAAAAAAGGAACAAAATATTGATCCTTCCAAACAAACAAGTCACAACGAATCCACCTCCTAATTCACCTCCGCCAAGCTCACCGCTCCTCCTCGTCGACAATTCTCACACCGCACCGTCACTCTTCTCAAACTTCCCAGGCTGTGGGAAATTAATGTTTTCAGGTACGCAAGGTACATTCCAGTTATACGGTACGACTCATCATTCTACGAGAAACGATCAGCGACTAGAAGGAATGAAAGAACAATCTGTCAACTTCTTCCACGTGGAGTACTAGGATATTGCTTGATCTCAAAACCAAAACATCCATTCGCTTAATTTCCAAAAGCTTCAAGCCAATTTTCTAGAAACTTGCTGTGGTTTTCTAGAAAAAGGATGTTCCTTGACGCTGAAGTTAGAAAAAGGGATGGATCATACCGGTACGAAGGCGGTGAGTTCAATCTTTTAGTTAAGGAGATGGAAACTGGGAAAGGAGAATTCGAGACGGAGGATATCCCAAGCCTTGAAATGAAAAGCTACTCAAACAAGTACCGTTCGTTCAACCTTCGCATGTTCGTATGTACAGCTTGGTACTGAACTTTATTTGTGAACATCTATTTTCAGTAGTTCTGAAGCAACTTTAAGGTTGAGCACTAATTCTTGAATCGCGGATGGGAAATCTATACCATCCGCTACTATTATGATTTGATGGTTTTACGAGCAGGTTGATGGATGGCGAATACCCACGGACAATTGAAATGCTCACGTACGTCAACCTTCTCAATGATGTAAACTTGAAGATTTCCTTAGAAGAGCATCGAGATCTGCAGAAATTTTCTTTCGAATTCGGAGAATAGAAGAATTACACGAATGAGATGGGAACTTTGGAAGTCCAAGGAAAGATGCACGTAAAGGTATACGAAAAAATCATCATCAATTATTCGAGCTTGAAAATGGGAAGGAGAGATGATGCTCCGTCGCTCGATATGTGTTGATGGGTACTTTCCAGGTTTCATTCCAATTGCTGTGTTTCTAATCATCTGCCCATTACCCACCTGATAATGGAATTCACCGGAATTCTGAACAAATATTACAAAGTGCAATAAGGTTCGAGGTTCGGACTTTATCATTGGAGCTAATTGTCCTTTCCAGAATATACTTTCAAATTTACGAAGTTTATTGCTTCTAAAACACAAGTACACTTAGTAAGCTTCTTGAGAAATCCTTCCTATTATTCAAATCACATACATGTGTATCTTAACACACATCAATAACGAATCAATAATCCCTCCATTTCTCAAGCCGAAACCCTTCCTTTCAAACCTAAAAACTCTCCTTCTATCTACACCTCCTTCCTCGTAAGCGCCAGGAAGGAACCGCGAATATCCATCTCGGGAACCCAGCTTACCCGCCCGCGTAGCAATGTAAGATAAGCGCTCGACGTGGTGCCCGTCATCTTATTCTCCGTCTTACTCATTTTCCACTTCCAATTTGTTGCCCCGGAGAATCCTTCGTGTATAGAAAATTAGCTTTAGGGGGGTTGAGATGCTGAGTTGTGGTGATGAGATCAGAATAGACTTAGTGGTCAAATGCGAATGGGAACATGCGAGGCTGAGGTTGCGTGCCGAGAATATCCATCCGTGTTGAAAGTATGATGGGGTCTGCATACGATAGTATACGAGAGCATACGAGGGCATACGATAAGCCTCACTACCTTACGAGCACGAAGTTACAAGTATGACGAATACTAGGTATTCTCGTATTTCCATTCAAGCCCAATAACCAGGAATCTCAATCATATTTTCCCTTTCTTCAATTCCAAATCCAATTATTCCCCTTCATCCTCAAGCCCCTTCCTTATCAAACTCTCGCTCCCTTATCAGACATCCATCTATTATCCACTCATCTCGTATCATCCTCTGCACATCAATCTCCTTATCCGTCCCGCATACCCGAGTCGAAGTCCTTGGCCCGACGCGCCTAGCCTGCGCCCTGCATATCAGCAACATTACAAGCTTTATTACACGAATAATAATTGTTCCTTCCGCTTTAAGGGATGTCGATGCCGATGGCCCGGTTTAGAAATCAAGAAACAAAAAGTTGTGATCCGAAAATTTCGGGGTAACGGGGAACGCTGAAGATGTTATTGGGGGTGAGCGAGTATGATATATATCAGATATACATATGCATGTAAGGCGTAGGATTTTTGTACATCAATTGCGTATGTAGAGACAGTGAAGATGCAGAAACTGGGTGGGGATCTCGCAAAGTTGGCACGGTGAGCGTGAATTGGAGATGCAGGTGGCAATGGGACGTGAGAGAGTTCTGGAGTGTGTATAAAGATATCATTGTTGTATCAGTCTGGTTCAATATAATTTAGATATCTAAAATTTAAACTATCACATCGCTCCATCCACCAACCTAAGAACAGAACATCCCTCAACATGCGCCTCTCAATCTTCCTCTCAGCTAGCACTCTCCTTCTCACTCACCGTAAGTCCCCAACCTCGATATCTCATTCCCCTCCTTCTCAGTACATCTCCATCTCCATCTCCAACTTCACCATACGCCCAAACCCTAACATCTCCGCTTCCCGTCATAGTAACAAAAGCTTGCTACTTCAACGTATACTCCACGACCGTTGGCACCTTCAAAGCACAACATTCCGAGCCCCTCGATCACAATGGTGCACCCCAGACCCTCACTGGAAAATATCTTACCTGTTCTTTCTCAGCCGATCTTGCCGATGGATGTATCGTAACAGTCAAGACGAATGTTGGGTGTGGGAATTTGACTTTCGAGAGGATTGGTACTAACTGAGCTTGGTTGTGATGGAAGACTAGTGTGCCCATGGGAAGTAGGGGTGTTAGCTGTCTACTCATGAGCAGACGAGGCCGAGATGATGCTGAACTGATGATACTGAGATCATGTTAGTGGACTACGAAGACCGCAGGCGGTCAGGAGTCCTAGTCGGGCGGTGTAGAATAAAGTTCCCAATGATATGGTAACTAGTTTGACGTACCTGCATGCGAAAGAAACTAGCTTCAATATTTTCAAACTCGAATAAACCTGATCGCAAACAATGTGCTACTCAATTTAGCAAGAATAAGAAACAAAACCAGTAATCGTTATTCTTGTTTCTCTGAAAATGGAGCTAAAAAAGAGCACTGCCCACTGCCCAGCAACCATCAATAAAGACGACTATGACGTAAACGGGATGTACAGATGTCTTCCGTCTCTTCCTATGGAAGTTTCGGGCGCTCCGGCGACGCGAATGCGATGACTAGATGCGCACGGCCATGGAGAATACAAGTAATTCGTATCCATATACATCCAACTTGATGCTAAACAAAGAATACGATAAAACCCTCTTGCTTCTCGATCTACCATCACAGCGCCGATGATATGCAGCTCATACAGTCCTAGCAGTTTGCAGCATCATAATACCAGTGAAAACGTTTCTATGTCCACACGGTCCACCCAAAAACGCCAATTCCCACCTATACCCCGCTGTCTGTGACACGGATAAGAGTCTGGGCAATATATTGGGAGCATTTGTAAGCTATATGTATTCAATAATAAGTGTATGAAGCAGAGATCTAGAATAATGGGGATCACAAGCTCAATAGTCACTTCCCGATTTGCATCATCAAAATTGCCAACGTCCGAGCATATCAGCCTAGAAACAGTACTTGTGGACAATTCTTCATCCACATACAACATGATTGGTACAAAAAAGTGGGAAATTTCCTCTACAGCCTTGGAAAAAACAGCCGACGGGATAATTCCCATTGAATGGAGATAATGTAACCGAAGGCTTATGATGACACTGTCGATCGATGGAAAAGTCTTTCAATATCTAACACCATTCTTTCTTAGTGGCAGACCACTGGGAATATTCCACCCATTCATATTTTCCCAACGGTCTCCCAAAGATCCTTGGTACGTTTCACCATTGTCGGTTGAGATTGACTTCACGTTTAAATAGACTTCGGGGAGGTAAGCAAAAGGCTATCATCGACTGAAAGCGAAAAGTCTCTTCGGCTAGCCATTTTGGAGTAGCATTTCGGCCGAAGCCGATGATTGCCAGTGGTATTCTTCAATTACACTACAACCAAAGACGCCATGATGTTTTTTATCGATGGAATAAATTTCCGAGAAATAGGATTTATACTTTCTCCCAGAGATGAAAAGTTCTGTGTACGAAACAAACCGTCCGTTCGCGTGAGTGGCGTCTCTCCCGCACCAATCAAAAATTCAATTCTGATCTTAAGTCGATTATATCTTCACCTCGTACGTACATAACGGATGAAAATACTGTACTTTGTATAATTTCTTTTGGTCCGCGCATACTTCAGTGCCATATCGTTTGTGGGGAAGACGGGAGAGGGAACGGGGGACCCGGAGAGGAAAGTTCATCAGGGCTTGGACTATGTTGAGTAAATCCAGGGACAGGAACGTGTGATAACTCTATTTGGTGATCTGTCCTCGAATTTATGAAAGATAGCTTGAAGTGAATACACTTGCAGCACCAACATCTTTGGGTTCTATTGCGTAGGTAGATCATTGTAGCTGTCGTCTTTTGTCTTATTTGATGGCCGGTTTTAACTCTGTAACTTGCCACATGTACTTAACTGCAAAATATAACTAGGGGTGGCCCTTGCTTGATAAGCCAATGATAAAAATTGAGAATACAGGACAAACTGTGACATCGACATCAAGTTGAACTTACTTTGCGCTCACCATCTTCCATGCTTCAACTTCCTCGCACCTGCATTTCTTCCAACCTAACACGTATGAGAGTTGATAATCAAGGGCTGGCCGGAGAATAAGCTTGGGCTAGAGTATAATGTTAAGCTGAAGCCATCAGGGCACACTACCCCGGGTTTGGAGGCCAGTGATAGAAGATGAAGGTCTAGATCTACAACCAGGACACTCTCACAGACTTTCACTGCGAAACGGAGATAACCCAAACTTTACAAATGCCGCGATGAGCCAATCGTCACACAATCTGCCATAGCACCATATATCGGTAAAATGATCGACGGCAAAGCAGAGCTTTAGGCAGAGGCACGAAGATGCAGGCACTGAGACCAAACTCTTTTGGGGATGCTTCCAAATATTGACCTTTTCGGAAAATATTTGTCTCGAAAGTCGCCGAGCTTGAAAAGCGGACATTTTAACTTTTTCTTCTCTTGAAAAGTTTACACATCAAAGACTTGGCTATCTCTGAAATGAAAGGTTTAATTGGAAGTCCGTTCTCCAAATATCTTCTGACTATTGTATAAGCATTACCAAACCCACTGGTTTGTCTGGGGATGCGGTTATGGCTCTTCCGCAGTCGTGGAGGTCCCCGAAGCTGCCTTTCATTGGATGTTATATGCGAGGAGGTATAATTTGGAGATCTGGATCTCATACATCATCTAGCTGTGGTGGCATCTGCGTAGACGTGATCCAGTCCTCCATCATTACTTGACCTCCATGGGCGGCTGGAGCTTTGCCCTTTTTGTCTTTCCGTTTGACGACTAAACATAACACGCGACCATTCACTGAGAATCCATCGTAAGATGTATCCATTGCCATCTTCTTTTTGTCGTCATCATCCCTGATGCTTCTCTATCTTTCCGACGTTTCGCTAGAGGACCAAAATCAGAGTCTAGAGATTCCCGCCCAATTCTTGAACGTTTTGATCCGTGAGGCCCTTCATCTTCACTAATAAATAAATCTGAATCATCTCCTACTTCAGGTATGTCTTGTAGAGAAAATGACTCTTCGCTTGCTTCTCTCACAGTAGCTGGGCCATCAGCTACTTCAATTGGCGCATCATTCGTATTGCCAGTAAGTTTGTCGGAATTCGACTTTAAAGCTTTCTTGTTTATATCTCGAAAATGCTTGTGTTTGAAAATGATAGAATGGCGTGTACTGGTTTCCGTCAAAAATATCGATACTTCGAAGTCCTCTGCCAGTAATTGTTAATGGACGTTGCGTTGTTATAGACGTGCTCAACGATTCCACTCACCATCACTAACAACATCCTTCACGCCTTTTTTCTTTCCCTTCGACTTGCTCCTTTCCTGCTCTTCGCGCAACTTTGGCAGAACCAGTGGACGAACCTTCTCGATGACTCGGGGCAAGATTGGGTTTCTTGAATTGAGTAGCCAACTTTCTGCCAAAGCTGGATTATCGACATATATGCGACATTCGAGAACAGAATATTTGCTAATGCGCAGATATCTGCGTATTGGCGCCATTGAATAAGAATGTGTGTGATAGTGTGAATGCTTTTGTCGTGGTTGTGTCTGTTGTGTTTGTGTTTGGGAAGCCTTCTACAAGGCTTAAAGCTTGTGTTTAACCTTCTTCAGCCTTGCTGAAATCTTACTGACTGGGGTAAGCTATTTTTGCCCCGTAGAGTATAAATTCATCGACTTTATCGCAAATACCTCTAGCACGTCGGGTGAATAGAAAATTCATTGACATTCAATTCATCTTCGTATTCCTGATTGTCTGATAGTTGACTTGTTTCCGCATTTCAATCCCTTTGAAGCTCTCCTGTTAACCCCTCGAGAATAGCTTAAGAGACAAAGGTTATCGATAGTGTGTGTCACCTTGCCAAATCTATCGCCAATATGGAAATTACAAATTCGATATATTCTTGCTAAAAGCATGCGAAATTTGTATTGTAAGTAGATCGAACCTCGCTTCTGCGTGTATACAGAGTATGTCTTGAGACGATAGGGTATACAATCTCGACAATTGTAAAGCGATATAGCTTGAATATTTGGTTGGGTTGAAAACTATAACCACACTGCCATTTCCTCAACTGCGGCGCGAAACATTTATCTGTACCACTCCTTTCTTCCAACATCTGTTGAAACATTTTTCGGGTTAAAACGGACTTTCGATTGTGTCCGCAAATTCAGTGGAGGTGAGGTCATCTTTGCCAAGCATATCCACACATTACCGTATCATCACGATATTAAATCAATATTGAATACTCGAATTCGGAGAAAATCGGTAACGAATTCTCACCGTGTTCATTCTAATTCCTATTTCTGCATCTTGATTATTCAGTGAAAAGTTTCCCTGGTATTTGATCTTCAATATTTCTCTACAGTTTGAGCTTCTGGACTGGTGAATTGTCCATCAAAGGGAAGGAATATCATATGATACATGATGAGTTACAGCTTAGCTACCTCGAGAAATAGGGGCTCGGCTTTGTATGCTGGGGGACTACTCAAAATCGTATCGTCTTCCAAATGTGGAAAGGTAGCGGGCTTGAGTGCCGGTGCAAGATGTATATCAACACGTGAACTCGACGCTTCGAAAGGCGGTTCGTATTCCCTCTACTTGATATCCTCCCCATCCATAAATATATCTTATCTCTTTCGTTCTCTCGGAACTCAATACAATACATAAGACTCAGTAAACAACCATCCGTCTACTGACACATGCAGACCGTGAAAGAGTCCTGATTCTTGGCTCGGGCTGGTCAGGCTTCACGCTTTCTCGCCAACTGGATCCTAAGAAATACCAAACAGTTGTTATTTCTCCACGGTCATATTTTGTGTTCACGCCATTATTGGCTAGTACAGCTGTGGGGACTTTGGAATTTAGAAGCGCGCTTGAGTGAGTATTTGGATTTCTCTTCTGATTTTCGAGAGGAGTGGGTGCTTCTGCACGGGGGTTGATGAGAGATCTTGGGGCTGAGTGGGGACGGGGGAGGTGGCTTTGGATTTCGTGTTTCTGAGAGCGTAGGACTTCATGGATTATTGCTAATACGCGATATGTAGGAGTGTGAGAGGCAGAGGAAGATGGAGAGGGTGGGGTTTAGTAGGTGGCGGATGGGGTGGATGGGGAGCGAGAGGGAACGGGGTCGAGTTTTGGCAGGGGGTGAGTCGGTCTATCTCCTTTCATTGGTAATGTGGTGACTGGAGTCCAAGTGTTCCCCACTGCTTGTCTACAAAAGAACAGGATTCGGCTTTGCTCCATTTCTGACAAAAGCTGGAAGTCACTATGGATTACTAACAAGCCTCACTACCACAGTGGGCAGACGACGTAAACTTTGATAAGAAAACTATCAAAGTAGAGGAAAACGCAATTGAGAGACCCAAAACTGCTTCCACAACAATAGAAAAGAAAGGAAAAGGAAAAGTATTTGAAGTGGACTATGATAAATTGGTGGTTAGTGTTGGGTGTTATAGTCAAACATTTGGGATTGAGGGGGTGAGAGAAAATGCATTGTTTTTGAAGGATGTAGGAGATGCGAGAAAGATTAGGAAGAGGATCTTAGAATGTGAGTTCATTTCTTTTGTGAAGGGGAGTGGATAGGGGAAGAGAAATTTGCTCTCATGAAATCAATTTCCTCTCTCGACCTCCCACGGCAGTAGCCAAGCGGAGCGTTAATCAAACAAAAGGAATAAACAACAAAGGAAAAAAATTAATGGAACGACAATGACAAGTACTGATTCTCGAAATCACAGGTTTCGAAACAGCTGCATTACCAACCAGTTCCGATTCTCTCAGAAAACAACTTTTGAATTTCGCCATTGTAGGCGGCGGTCGTAAGCTTCCTCTGTATATCCCCGTGATCTCCACTTAACACTTGTCTAGCAACTGGAGTCGAATTTGCAGCCGAACTCTTTGATCTTTGTCATGAAGATCTCTCCACTCTATACCCTTCTTTAACCCCGTTCATAAAAATAACTATTTATGATGTTGCACCAAAAATCCTTCCGATGTTCGATAAAAATCTTGCAAACTACGCGTTGGAACATTTCAAGAGAGATGGAATTGAGATTAAGACTGAACATCACATCTTGGGATTGCGAAGAGGATTACCCAAGGAAGGAGAAAATGGAGAAGACGCAGGAAAGGGATTCACATTAAACCTGAAGGAAGAAGGTGATGTGGGTGTGGGAATGTGTGTTTGGAGTACGGGATTGATGATGAATCCTTTTATCGAGAAGGCGTTGAGTTCTGTTCATACCTTCCCTACTCAGTCTGCTATTTTGTCTGGAAGTGATAGCGAGAAGAGTATGGAGAGACCGGAAGATAAAAAATGGGAACTGAAAAGAAGTCCCAAAACGGGTGGATTGATGGTGGATAATTTCTTTAGGGTTAAATTGGCTACTCGTTCATCTCCAGACGGAGCAAAGCAAACTCAACAAGAAGCAACGATGAATGATGTCTTCGCATTGGGAGATGTAGCTGTCTTGGGAGATATGGGATTACCAGCTACAGCGCAAGTGGCAAATCAGGAAGCGAGATGGCTGGGCAAAAGACTTAATAAGATGGACAAGGCAGGGAAAATTGGAGCTGCTGAGGACAAAGGATTTACCTTTAGAAATATGGGGGTTATGACTTATGTCGGGGGCATGAAGGCGATTATGCAGACGGATGGAAAGGGAGAGATTAAGGGGTATGTGGAACTTCCATTTCTACTTTTAGACTTAATGTTCGATGACTCAATACACGGAGAAATGGGATTGCAGGTTGGATATCTGCTAAGTCGCAAAGAATTCTTGTGGATTTCGTTGCTAACAGTACATCTAAATATAGAAGAACAGCATGGGTAATCTGGAGAGGTGCATATCTAACTCAAACAATCAGCTGGAGGAATAAAATACTTATCCCTATGTATTGGTAAGTTCTCATCTTCATTCTGTTTTTTTCTATGAAAGTTTCTCTGAAAGGAAACTAACGATAACAGGGCAATCAATTGGCTGTTTGGGCGTGATATATCAAGGTTTTAGCGGCGATGAAGATTCGTTTGGGAGGTTGGATGGGGTAAAATAGAAAGGAAAACTGCATAGCTATGGACGGCTTCGTAGGAAGGGTGTAATTTACTGTATTTTTATATTAAGGCTAATTCTACTTTTTATTCTATGATTCGCACGAATTATATATCGAAGTGGAGGGATGACTGGTAGGAGTCGCTGCGTCTTGGGTTTAGTAACTTACACCTTCGATGTTTTTTTCTGTCTTGGGAAATTGACTACTGAATAGTGCACTGCGAATTACTACATCAAGATGCAAATCTGGTTTATAATGTACCACCAGGAGACTATACAATGCCAGAGCATGATATCAAAGAGACCAACAGCTATCCAAACCCAGTGATCATACAATCAATCCGGTCTTTCCTGACCTTCAACCTTTCAACGCAGGAGAAAGAATGAACAGTTTCCCTCGATCTCTGAAAAGAGGAAATGGGGGTTATAAATCAAGGATTTGGAAGTTGAGTTGCAGTTCCGATGAGATTATTGATGATTGTATGACGGCGCTGATGGTTGGCAGTGAAATGACCTGATCAGTGTGAGAGATCTGACAGTGAAGAGACTTCAGTGATGATATATTGTTGCCTTTTGTTCTTCCATGCCGTTGTCTCCGAGTTTCATCATCCATATATTGAAGGTCTTAAAGTCTGGAATACCTGCAGATTGGACAAGAGATGCGTGGAGGGTAGTATGCTAAGTAGTAGATCATGACAGGTCTGGTTTTCCTGCTACACAGCACACATGCTGGTCTTGGTGGCTCTGGTCTCCGCTTAGTGGCAGAGGAATGTTACCTTTTATTAAGCTCTATAAAGAGAATTTCAGATGTTGAGGTATGCACCAGAAGAAGTAAGGAGACATTCACCAAAACTAGTACGAAGGAGATGGATACGAATGATCGCCCTTCCATCCAATGCACCTATTTCTACTTGATATCCGCTAAGTTTATATCTGTGCTGGGGGCTCGTAATATCAGTAACTTGTGACTTCTGTAAAACGGCCTAGCTATCCAAAGATTTGAACTGGTCATCATCTTTAGTCATGATGAAATTCAAACTCATGTCTTCACTGTATTATGAAGGTAGTCGTTGTAAGTAGAATGATGTGGCATATTTAGTTTTGACCTGATTTACTCGGGGTTTGAGCGTATGATTGCTTTCTTCTTTTTGGTATCTTTTGATTAATTAATGTTGTTAGCTGTAACTTGCGTATGATTACCTTATCGTGTGTAATTCAGCGACAGTAAATCACTTTATGTGTAGGTGACATTGCAAGTGAGAAATGGCTCACACGTAGATATCATGAACGTCTTGGATCTACGATTCCGGTCATTGAAGCTTCGAGTTACAGGTATCTGAACAAGAAACGCGGCATCTTTGTGGTATTGGCCATAGCTCCTTATTTTCATATCTTTTTCATGATCTGTTGTGTGAAGAGTGCAAGTACTCTACATATTTATGTGTATCTTGAACCGTCATCATTGGCTGAAGACTCTAATTGAGATCCTATCGAGTGAATAACAGATACGCACCCAAGTCTTGGATCTGGCCAAGAGTAGTTATACAAAGATCACACAGATAGAAAGGACTCCCGACATAACATATTGTTGGCTTCAGTGGTGCAAAGTCTCAAGAAAGCCTATGATAAGCACCTTCCGCAAACTTGCGTCTTGCGTCTTGGAAACTCCATTTTTAGGTACCAGATTATGATCGGGGGGAAATAACATGAAAACATTCACACTGAGTTGTTGGGATGAAACTAAACAGTGACAGCAGCTGAATGTAACACCTACCAAGTTGGCGTCAAATAATGTGAAAAGAAACGACAGGTACAATTTTCTATTACACTATCGTTCGAAATAACGTGGATTATGTCTGGAGTGATAATAGGGGATAGAATTGGTATTGACAGCAACAATTACTTTTGCATTGCAATCTCATTATGCCTATCACCACAAAGATTACAAGACAACCGTTTAATAATAGAATCTTTATCGCTTTCAATAACTTGAGATCATCAAGGGCAACAACACTGAGGCTCTTAATGCTCTACGTTGCTTACTATTCAGGTCATTGTGTGTTCAAACTCCTACTAATCTATATTTATATATCCTTCTCCACTTCACCTATGAATCTTGATATTCGAACTCCACCCGGGCTGGTCTTGCCCATTCTGATTTTTTCCATTCACTAAGTTGTACTTTGAGCTCCATAATTAGTTCTCAGAACGTCCATCTTCTTCTATAAAATTTCTCCCTATCCATGCGGATGTGCTTTATATTTCAAAGAATCCACTCGCTTTATCAGGACTCATGCCGTGGTTCCTGACCAACATTTTCAGCTATGCATCGTTACGTCGTTGCGTTTGTCGTAGCTACGGTACTTGAGTCAAAGAATCTGGACTTTTTGCAGGATCATATGTCATCGTCTCATCTCATCATATCGTCGTACCTTTCGGGATTTGCACACGAAAATGATTGATAGTATTCATGGATCTGATAGCAATGAGGAAAGTAACATGGTATCTATTACACTTTTTTTCTTTCTTTTTAGTCACATCATTGAATTTTTTATCAGTTGAACCTTCATAACACTGGTAGATTAGACAGAGTTACAGGTGTAACATCGTTGAACCCCCCTCCCCTACCTTTGATCTATTCACATCCGAGACTATAACAAGACCCTCCACTACATCAAGGACAAGCACAATCACAAAAAGTATAATGATTTGCAACCCTCAGACGAGAATATTTTAGCGGCAAATCTGGTTTCTTGAACTCCTTGCTTCTAGAAGTCCATTGGTATTTATATCCAGGGAAAGAAATCATAACCGGTTCAGCCTCTTGCAATATTGAATATCCTGCTATAATATCCCGAACTTCAAAATATGAAGTGAATTTTTGTACTGGCTTTATCCTACTTGAGGCTATATTTTCCCCAACTGGAGCGGCACGAACAAGAATGATTAAGATCAAGTACCCTCATGGCCAAGCACAGACGAAGAAATTCCACCGGTAACAACGAATACAGGTGTTTGCAATCTTTGTCAGGGAGCGAGACTTGGGAGATCGCATTAACTGAGAGGATTGTATCAGGCCTATTCAGACAACAGTTGTATTGGCTGTGAATGACGAGAAAGAAAGCGATAGTAAATATCCACTAGTTATTTTGACAACAATATACGACACATATGCAGGATTCTTTTATCGAGAACTCAAACTTGAATTTCAAGACATTAGTATGGCCCCATTTCCAACTTCCAAGCTTTTCACAGCAAGAAACAGCATTAATGTGACATCATCTTATGAGCATTTCGAGATAGTAGTCTGCATTCTGCCACCCCAAATTCGCACAAGAATGGTTAAGAAGAGATATTATCTAAGCACTCAGAATTCTTTAAATAATTGGGAAGAGTACAGAAGATCCACGAAATTCAAGATTCTCTACACATCAGAAAGAACTGCTACATGATTCCCTAAAAATCTTTGCCCTTACCCCTCAAATAACCGAGGAACCCCACCAGACAACCCAATAAGTGCATCCGCTCCTCGTCCTAATTTCTACAGGGGAGTGTTCGTCATTTAATTTTGTATTATTCAAGTCCTATAAACATACCTAATAAAAGTATCCCTCACCATAGACATACAAATCAGGTACTCCGCAGAAGAACTGACCAGGAGGCGACAAACAATACAAATTACGCAGTAATCAGACTCCTCACCAAAGTATAAGTGATGAAACAAACTGTCGCTTTTTCCCTCCACCCCCATTCTATACTCTTCAACACGGATACCATCACACAAGAACTACCAACAAATATGACCCATCTAACAGCAAGAAAATTAAACTAAATTATAGAATCGACAAATGTTGACTGGCAGTGATGAAAACAAATTAGTATGAACAGTGATCCAGTCCAAAACTACTTGACACTTATAATACCCGGATATGAAAAAGGAGAAGAAGAAAAAAGTACACACATCAAACAACCACTCATCACATCTCATCCGCAAGACCTATGAGGAAATCGGCGAAAAACATCAATGGATTGTTGGATTTAAAATGTAGAGAAGAAGGAAAGTTCAAATAAATATCCTCAGAGGTCTTTCAAACTGTAGATCTTATCAGGCTCAGGAATCTGTTTCTAGTCAATATATAATGATTCGAGGAATTGGGTAAGCTTAGACTGTTGATTTCAAATAGAATCTCTAACCTACTCTCCCTTCAAAGTGAATATATTGAAAACATCCCAACCTCAATTCCCAACGCGCTATAAGAACCGTGTGCTTACTACAAATTACTCCATAACCCATCATTCCCAAGTTGGATTTACCGTTTGATTGTGTGTTATCTATTCTTCTTCCCACCAACTCATCAACATAAATACATACATACCTTTTAAAGCACCTCGAAATATCCGTCAAGTACTAACCCCTCCCGTCATCATCCCCTCCAATGTACAAAACAACAACGAAAAAGCATATACAATCCCGACAACACTAATAAACTCCCATCAATAAACAACAACAATATCCCAAACCAACATCAAAGAAATATTAATCAACATCAGAACCCCCTACTCCAATCCACTCCAACCCCCTAAACCCCGAAACAGCCAGAAAAACAGCGTGTCAACCAGAAAGCAAAAGCAATATACCGCCAAGTGGCACAGCTAAACATCATGCATGCTTTTCCTTCGTCCACACCCTTACAGATGTTGTTGCTTCGATATAGGATTAGGATTCAGACTTCTTAAATACTCATACAATATCTCCTCGACCTTCAAATTTTCGTTAAGCCAGCCTTTCTTCACCCCTCTTACCCCATCCCATCATTTACCATAATTCACAAACACAAAAATAAACCAGTGAGTGCATTATGGAATGCCAATCCAAATCTCACCCACAAAATCCACAACTTCATTCCCCATCTCATCATCTATCCTACACACAAGAACGACCAGATCACCAACACCATCTC